AATTCACCTAAGGGTTTATATCTTGAAAAACCCAGAAACACGTGTTTGATTATTTTAATTTTAAAGCTTTTTTACGAAAATTTAAGTGAACCTACTCAAAAATAAAAAAAAACCATACAAACTTTCAACCTCCTTTCTTATTACTTTTCTAGTTTATAAAAGGTACTAGGTATATATTGTTTCAAACTTTCATGGTCATCAACATTATAGCTATTAACGGGATTTTTACCATGTACCTTGTTTTTTATGAGTCTCCGATATTTCTCTTGTATTTCAGTCTTTATATTTCAGTGTTGTCTCTCTTGTCTGTCAGTCTTTATAGTTCAGTGTTCATAGCGCTTGCATCAGTGCCGAAATATCGGAGACTCATAAAAAACGAGGTACATGGTAACAATCCCGTTAATAGCTATAATATAAAAGGTACTATTATTAAGGGGTTTCCTCTCCACGTTAATGAGTCAATCAGTCAGATTCTCTCTCTATATTATAGGGTAGATTATACAATCTCATACCACACTATGTTGTCACATTTAGTCTCAAACGTTGTCCGGAAACAAACTGTTTATTTTTGGTCCATTGCTTCCAATCCTTTCCATTAGTTATTAAATTAATTTGTCCGTTGACAGGCTTTTACTTTAGGTTCTATTCAATATGTATCTTGTCGTCATAGTTAATGGTGTTTTTGTATAAAATAGTGTGCAAAAGGTGTTATCTATTTTCTTCTATATATTAATCTAATCTAAAATATTGATGTTCAACATACTTACTAAAATTTTACGAATTAATAATAAGTGTTTATGAAACTATCACACTTATTCTAGAAGGCCAGAATGTATGCAGCCCATACATTGTAACGAACCAAACCGTTTAAATCTATTAGCTTCATGTTTTTTTAATTCATGAAACTGATGTTAATGGGCACCAATTTAAAGATGATTTGCAATATTAAACGAACAAAAATTGTAAATGCACATAAATTTACACCCTTCAGTCACGATTCAAATAGTAGTTCTGACGCGGAACCCTTATAGATTTGTCATGCCCGTCCCCGGTTTTGCTTGGATACTGTCAGCACTAGAGAGCTGTAATTTTGTAGAGGTATGTATATCAATGACGCCGACAAAATGGCAGAATAAAATTATGAAAAATATTTTTTTAGGTCAGCTCCCCTACATGTAACCTGGGTATGATTTTTGTTTTCATCGTCTACTCCATCGTGTGGGGTATCGTTAAATAGATCCCTTCAATTACTTAGGGGTTCCTCGGACTATTTTTCGATATAATCCCTATATTGCGAAATATAGCACATAAAGTGCCAATTTTTAAAGTGAAAACTTCTTTAGCAGCGTTGTACACTTTTTTTTTGTATGGGTAAAATATGTTAATGTAATATAAATTGTCATGTTTGTGTACGATAGCGCAATAAATAAATATTGTATTCTACCACATACATGATAGTACTTTTATACTGACAATTAAAGCAATTCGTGCAAAATTATTCCCTAACCATTCCAAAATATCAAAAATGCACAACGTTAATACTTACTTCATCAAGTTTTCACTTCTGCCGGCACTCCCGGAATGCAACCCGTCGTTTTTTTTGTAGCCGGTTCTCTGAATGTACGCCGGGTGACCGGCGCAGAAGTATTGTCTGGATATTAGTGGCCCTGTTCTGGGCGTTAGGTAGGGCCCTACTCATTCCACCCGGCCTAAGGAATGGCTGAAATGAGCAGGGAGGAGTCCCACATACCTTCTTATCGCTCGCCCGGTGGTTGAAGGATGCGTAAGGTATTTCCCGGACAAAAAAAAGGAAACCAGAGGTAACCCACTAGTTTCGAATAACGTGATTGTGTGCTACTAAACACAAGAAGTGATATTTTAAAAAGCAAGATTATTAGAATAGATTCTTCTTATAGTCGTGCACTTGGACTTTCACTGTTGCACCTACGAGTATGCATTCGCAAAGATTCGCAACGTGTCCCCTTATTGCTAATTGAGTAATATCAGTTACTGAAACAGGATTGATCATAATAAATCGATATTTCCTGTGATTCCGAAAATTGCGTGTTACGACCAAGAATAAATACGTTGTTCAGTTTAAAATTACAGTTCGTGGAATGCGATTTGGGTTAGGTAAAGTGTTTAAATCGTTAAATTATGGCAAAAGATTGCTTTTTTAATTGTATTTAGAATTCAAGTACGGCATATCCGGTTTTTTGGGTAAGATATTTAATTATTGAGCACATAATGACCGAATGTCTATGAAAACAGGAACACGCAAGTAAAACAACAAAGTTACCCAGTTGGTCGACATTAATCTAATCAGATTGATGTCGACAGCACCAACCAAAATCCACCTCCTGCAATCGACACAGCCAAAACTATTATTTCCCTTTATATACATTTATTTATTTATTTCGGTAAAGAATTAAATTAATAATAAATAAATAAATTGTTTCTAAATAACAAAGCACTCAAAAATAACAAAAAAAATTCAAAGGGGAAGTCCATATTTAACATTCAATTTAAAATATGGTTCAAATAACGAATAGCTTTTTGTTTGACTATGTAGGACTATCTATTATTTATTATTGAGAACGTCTGAGTTGTCTATTACCGATTCTCCCTGGACCAATACTAATACACAAATCAGATGATAATGGAGTTACTGTTACAGTGTAGGTAATGTAATACGATACTGAAAATCCGATAAACCAAACCTACATTTCATCATCAACATCGCAGAGTAACTGTTTGTCTGAGGAGAGAGTTATACTGGATACGGCAAATTGATTTTATACCTTATAAAAATTGAAACTATGTATAAATCCAACAAATCTTATAAATGTGAAAGTTTGTATGTTTGTTACTCGATCAGATAAAAATACCAGGGCCACGGTTGCATAATGGTTAGTATATTCGCCCGGATAGCGAAGGGTGCGGGTTTGAGCCCCGTCTGCTGCCTGGCCCGCGTGGATTATTTTCTAGTAAAATTTTCTTTAATAAGTTTTATTTTCCACTTTTTATAAGACAGAGCAACATCAAATTTGTAAATATAGATGTGGCCTGCGATCGCTCTTTCATATTTCGTAAAATAATCAAAGACGATATGTGTACTGTACCCTTAGCACTAACCAATATCGAATTCGAATCGTTTGCGAGTCCGAACATTGACATTTCATTTGTACAAAATATGACATTGACATTTCGCACTAGCTAAATATTCAAATTCGATATTGGTGTCATTTGAAGAGTTCTGATGTTTATCTCAGAGATGGAAGGGGAGACACCGACGACAGAAGTTGGTGGTGAGTCCAATTAGTCTAGGCTACTCAGCCATCTCCCCCTCTGAGAGCGCCTGTCCGGGCGCCAACGACTCAGCAATCTGTTCGCCAGGGGCTTTGCCCCTAGTAGCAAGAGGGTCGCACCTCCACATGATGTGACCAGCCGGCCAACCACTGTCCGCACATATTACACAGCGGGGCGCACTTTTCCGCACGTGCACATACGCCTGAAGCAGTGCGTAGGTGTGGACCGAGGACCCTCACGTGAGCGAGGCTCCAGCCCACATTTATTTTATCCCCTTCTGCCACCTTTCTGGCGGCTTCTATAGGGCATCGAACAATGGTGACCCCTGTGCTTCTCGGTCGCGGGTAAATTGATATATATACTATTACGGTTCATGAGATATAGCCTGGAGACAAACAGACAGACGGACAATGCAGTCTTAGTAATAGGGCCCCGTTTTTACCCTTTGGGTACTGGACCCTAAAAAGTTATTTTGTAATGTTAACAAACCAAAAAAATGTTTCATGATTTTTTGTTGATTTGTTTGCGCGTTTGTGTTCAAATCAGTAAACAAACAAAAAAGGACAATGAAAACAAAAACAGGTTATCTTTACTATATAAAGCTGAATAGTTAGTTTATTTGGTTGAACGCGCTCATCTCAGGAACAACAGCAGTGCTATTCTGTAAAATTTTCACTCGCGGATCCGATGTGGATCCGCGCGTTTTCTATGTAAATCCGCGAGGATCAAATCAACATTTGATCCGCGGATGAAAATTTTACAGAATAGCACTGCTGGTCAGTTTTGAAAAAATCTTTTTGTGTTGGATAGTGCATTAATCGAGGAAGGCTATAGGCTGTACCACATCACGCTACGACCAGTAGGAGCGAGGCATCGATGAAAAATGTTGCGAAAACGGAGAAAAAATATTCCATTTGTGGACTTCCGTTGCCGGCGGTGCGTAAACGGTTAAAATAACACAAAAATCATTAAAGACAGAATCTTCCCCCTTTAAAATTTCTATAAAAAAGTCCACGACAGACTGACTATTAACTTATTCCTCAAATTAATCACATTCATCGACTGATCGCCAAGTGAGCTAGTAAATAATATTACAGCTAATAGATAATCACGTGCTTTTCTAGAAAATAAAAGTCCGTGATTACCTATGTATACAAAATGTTATTATTTCTTAAACCCATTTTCATAATTTTAATTGTTAACCTATCTTATTGTACGATACATTTGAACGGAGGTTACACATTCACTAAACTTTCACCGTTTTATTGCAAAACCATATAGCAGGTATTATTACACCAGGCACTCAACTTTGAATGAGTTTCGATAGTATTGAGGAATTATATTTATCCACAGAATATTTATGTAATAATTTGTAAATTTTAAGAATTACTTACATATTACCATAGAAACAAAGTCGCAACTTACAGATAGTCGAAATGAATAAAAGGGTAAAAAGGTACCTGTATAAAATAAAATTATATACGATGCGTTTTAGCGTTTCGCTCATTTTAAATGAAAAAATAAAAAAATAAGTTTTTTTTATTTATATAAATAATATAATAATTTATATATATATTGTATAATAAATGATAAGACAAAAATAGAATATAGGTCAAATTACGTCACCAATCGCATCAATATTTTTTTGTACTACAAAAACTATTCGAGGTTTTAAATAAAATTTTACATACCGCTAGATTTGAAAGATCTCGCCTTTTCAAATCCGCCATCGATTTGTTTTTCATACGCCAGGTCATCGCGCACATAATTTCTGTCATAATTAACACCACTGTTTTGGAGCGTAACTTCCCAAGCTACATTGGGTTTCGCGCTTTTCCAATTGTTTATGTCCTCGTACCGAGTGCTAATATCCGCGAGCAAACCGGCAGGCGACGACCACTGTATGAACCACTGATGCGCTAAAGCCATGATTGCATTTACATAATAAGATTAAAAGTGTTCCTTCTCACTTCAACGAATCCACTGAGCGCAAGATAAGCCGGTACTAACAGAGATTACTACAAGAATCTGTATAGCAATAAACGCGTGGATGCATGCGCTCAGCTGCTGTTTGTCTGTTAGCCGGCACCTGGAGAATTCAAGCAGCCTTGCGCGCAGTCACCCCTCTTACAATAAAGCACTTCCATGCACTACCGTTGTTTAAAATGCTCTAGGAATAATGAAATGGTTTTTTTGTGCGTTATTATTCATCATAAATCAGTATTAACCAACTTTTTATGATCGTCTTTTAAAAACGACATCACTTATTACAAACAGGCAAGAAAAAGTAAATTTATTTCAATGTGTGATTTAAATAATAATCAATACTTATTTGTAATAAAATATATTATTTTATAACATAAGGTTATATAAAAAAAAGTTTTAGATGTTTGAGTTTACAAATTATAATTATATTTTCATAATTACATAAAATACAATGTTGTCTGATAATCAAAACCAAAAATAATTATAGTGAAAAAAGAGGTTTCCTTTTTCTCCATTATAATTATTATTCTATTTTATAATTTTTATAAATGTCGTTCTTTTACCGATGACCTGTAGCAATATACATATTACTTTTATATGCTTTTTGCATTTCATAGCAAAATTATTAATAAAACCTGTAAGAAATTTGACAGTTTTGATGTTAATTAAATCAGGGGAGAATTCAAAAGAAATAGAGAAGAAGTAAAGTAAAGAAAGAAGAATAGAAAGCCATATTATATTAATAAATAACTTTTAAAATATGACAGGGCTATTATCTCATGAAGACATTAGTGCTCACAAGTGGGTAACTTTCCACAATAATCCATAATTTTAGTTGAAACTGCTGGCAGATGTAGTAAACCAAAGATGAGTTATTTAATTGTTGACTATTCGAACTTCTTTCAATCCCAAAAACTGTACGCAAACCTCAGAATTCAATTAAGGCAATTCAAAAAAAACAGCCTAGAACATCTAAGGAAGAAATGCATTCTTTTGGATACTGTATAGTGGATACGTCGTTATCTACCTGAAAAATTGAAGACAGCACATGAATGTTATTCAATTTGTAACTTTAACTATTTGTTATATTGATGAAATAACAGCTTTTAGTTTAACAAAACTTATTAAAAAGACCAAAGCTGAATATTTAGCCAAAACTTCAATTCGATCATATTTCATGGTGGTCCCATACATACAAAGGAGACGACTTTTTTTTACCCCAGCGTCTAACACATCATTACCTAGAGCTCGTTGAGTAGGATATAAATAAAGTTTTTCTTTGTTTTCATTTTCAATAACAATGAGATGAGGGCCGTCAAAGTTCTAGTTTTTAGAGCAATCTTGTTATGGGGTCTGTCTCAAAATCATAACTAGTTAGTATGATTGTGAAATTTTGGTATATGACGTTTCGTTGCTGTATTTAAAAAAAAAACAGAAAACGCCGATTCATAATACTTTGTAAGTTGTGACGAAAACAAACAAATTAATATTCCTTTCACGGTTTGTTGTACGGAACGCTTAGTGCGCGAGTCTAACTCGCACTTGTCCGGTTTTTCTTGCCTTTTACAGCTCGAAGAAATTGAGTGTCTGGTATGAAAAACGCCAAAAAAGTCATGTCCCATATAGTGTTATAATATAGTGTCTACGACTAAGAATATGTATAGATAATGCTACTGAACCCTTCGTACGTAAATCCGAGTCACACTTCGCCGTTTTAAATGTTGAGGTGGTGAAATAAATATGCTATTGGCAATTTATTGGACACAAAATGTACTAAGAATAAGATAGTTAAAGTAAGTTAGGTTAATTAGGATTAATTAAGTTAATTAAGATAATTAAAGTATTTTATTACATGACCACTTTTTTTTTCGTTCATCTGTAGCATATCGCATTACAATTTTAATTGTTATTAAAAATTCAGACCTCGTAACAAGCATCAGTGGTTCAGTGGTAGAAAGCTCGCCAGCTATGCAGGTGGCTTGGATTCGATAGCCAGTAGAGGAAGGAAGGAAAAGGAACTCCATGGAACGGTTGGTGCTGCAAGGGAAAGTTGAGGGCAAAAGGTTTCGCGGGCGCTCTCCGACAAGGTGGACAGACATAATTAAATCGGCGACGCACTCTAGCATAAATGATTGTTCTCGCTCTGCAAAACATCGAGCTACATGGCGACGCATCGCGATTGCATCAGTGGCACAGGAATCGACCGAGACATGACCACGAACACTCTGTCAAGAGTGCACGACTAGGAAGAAGAGGAAGGACTTTTTTATCAATGATTTTAATAGTTTCACTTGCATAGTTTTGTCTTAAAACCACAACAATTTTTATTTTTTGCCTATGCATTTTCAAGGAATACTACATCATATGCTAAACAATAATTTTTGATGTCGGATAGAGGTAGTAATAACGCTAATCGACCAACTCCGTGCTAACGTGTGTACTCTAAGAACATGGGTTCAAATCCCAGTAAGGGAAAATGTTTTATGATGAATAAAATTAGTACCTGATCATGGCTACTACACATAATTATTAATCTAATTGTACAGTGTTTACTAAAGGAGCAAATAACTATTTTAGGGGATTTAAAAGTACGTCGCTCGAGCTTCAAAATATTGTTGCTCCCAAGTGGACTTTTATCACCCTGAGAAAATAAGTAAATGCAACTACGAGTATGTAAGAAAAGAAACGTTTATTTATTTACATACCAGATTTACATGACAATCTTGGACACCTTTCTTGCATTTTTCCAAAGGATGAAATTTTTATGCTTTATATAATTATTATTGTTCTTGGAATTTTGTAGGCTAAAGACTTTGTATCACATTTTTAGCATACTTTCATTCTCACTACTTAACTGCGCAAGGAAGACATATTTTTTTATAAAACCAAATAGATCCGATTTTTATTAAATAAAGTCAAACAATTATATTAGAACGGAGGCGGATTATATTTCGCGCGTTCGTATGTTTTCATAAACTTTTTTTTAATTCAAATTAACCACCTTTGACATCAATGTCAAAGGTGGTTTACGCTGTGTGTGACAAACAGAGAACAAACCAGCTCTTTTCGAATAAATGCGATAAATAAATATTTATATACATAAATGGTCATTATTATGTATAACAATCCGTTACCCTAGAAACTAACACACACGCACACGGCGTTCGGGATTCTTTTGGGCTAATTGGTGTCAATAAAAAGAATTATTGATTTAAAAAAAACTTAGGTTTAATCAAAATATGACGGCGGTGATAAGTTTACAAGTAGGTCGAATGTCACAAAAAGCTTCATATTAATTGTCAACCAGTAAGATAAAGTTGTTTTATAACGTTTAATAAATTTTTAAAACGAACCTTTAGCTTTTACGATAAGTTGTGTAATACATATATAGTTGTGGAATTGATGGGCAAAATGTAGTAGCAGTATGAATTTAAAACATTATAGCATCTACGTTACGGTATGGAGTGAATATTTTGGGGGCACTCAGTTGACAAAGAATATGCATTTAAAGCTCAAAATCAATGTATAAGGGCTATTTGTAAAATTAAGCAAACTGACAGCTGTAAACCGCATTTTATATCATTAAAACTTTTGACATTGCCGTGTATTTACATATATGAAAGTGCTGTTTTTGTTAGAGCAAATTTACACTTATATGTTACTTTTAATAGAAGAAGATTCGAAACCAGACTTTGTTTACCATCTAACAAGACTTGGCTTATGACTAATAGTGTACTTTGTATGGCACCTCAGGTATATAATAAAATTCCACTTGAAATTAGAAAAGCTGTTAGCTCCAATATATTTTGTTCGAAATTAAAGAATGTATTACTTAAAAAGGCGTATTATAGTGTTAAGGAATTTTTTGAGGATAAATCTTTGTAAATGGATGTACCTATTTGTTTATTTTAATTTGCATTACTTGTGGTTAAATATGGAATAAGCTTCTAACGTATTATAATTTAACACCTCTGTATCACCTGTATTTGCAAATTAATAACTGATTGATTGATTGATTATTATTGCATTTGTGATGGTCATCAACTGAAACACAGAAAGTTGTTTTAAGTAACAAGTGGGCTAACCTTAGAAATTAAAACCTGAAATAATTATTTAGTTACCACTAAGTAACAGTCGATATAATAACCTTGGTATCCATTAATCGATGTAAGCTTTTGCATTTTTAATTGAAAGTGATTAATGGTTTATCTTAGTGATTAATTTGTTTTCTGTAATAATAACTAATAATAAATGAATTTCAAATACTATACATAGTTTTAATCTATTGGAGATGATGTTGATCTAACAAAATAAGAAACACTGTAACTTACACTAGATCCTCCAATGAGCATCATTTAAAAATACATATATAGATAATGTAAGAATTAGAAAAAAATATACTTGTACTAAAAAAGCGTACACATTTTAGTAAGTACTATAATCGTACTCAAACATCTAATTTTTAAGGTAAAGTATAAAAATAAATTATTTTACTAACGTACCAGCGGTCCTTGAGCCTAATGACATCTTCCGCGACGATGGCAAGAGACCTGATGGGAGGACGCTTATTCCTTGGAAGCAGGGTCGTCCTCTTGTATGGGACGCAACCTGCGTGGATACGCTTGCTCCGTGCCAGACAGGTAGTACCTCCCTAGCTGCAGGCGCGGCGGCGGCCTCTGCCCAGTGCTCCAAGCGGCGCAAATATTCAGCTCTCATTGAGAACTACATATTTGTACCGTTTGGTGTTGAGACTATGGTCCAAGCGCTCTTTCCTTTTTTAAGGAATTGTCAAAGAGGCTCACCGAAGTGACTGGTGATCAAAAGGCTGGCAGCTATCTTGGTCAACGGATCAGCCTTGCCGTCCAACGCGGCAATGCTGCCAGCCTATTATTATTGGACACCATTCCTGATGACGGCGCTGGGGGTGATATGTTTTTTATTTTGTAAATTATTTATTTATGTAGGTTAAGCTATATAGTTTTTAAGTTTGTGTTATTTTAATGTACGAGTATTATCTTCGTATAAAAAATAAAAAAATGTCTTTTATTGAGAATGTCTTGACCTCAGAAAGTTTACTAGAAATTCTTAGAAAATGTGAAAATCAAATATTTTGAAAACTATTGAGGCTTATTCTATTTTTATTAAACGGATTAGGTTGTAACTAAAAATCCATTAATTGCGAAAATCTACATACGAGTATATTCTTTCTATTAATTGAAAAACTTATAAACGCTTAAAGATTTTTCATCTATGTAGGCCAAGCGTCAATAAACACTGCACTAATTAGAGTGTGCCAAGTGCCATGAATTTATGTAGGGCCACCCAATCAATGAATTCCGAGTAGTTTTCAGTTTTATATTCGCCTCAACGATCTGTAATGGGTGTTAGTTCGAATCAAAATGTTCGTAAAACACCTCGTATTGTTTGTGTCCGTATTGCGGGTCAATAATTGCATTTATCCCTACTTTGACACTCAAGACTTCATATATAATGTTCCGAAAGTTTTTAGAATATCGATCACCTTAGACAAGTTACTGGAATATTATGAGAAAAAGCCTTCTAAAGATCCTGAGTGGTATATAGCACTGGGAGTGGCCAGAGGTAAGAATATATTTGGTCATAATTTTATTAGGCAAGGTTCAGCAAATTACCACACACCACCCGGTATAAGTATTTGGGGCGTATCGTAAAGCCACGAAGATAACTAATGCGGCAGAAAAGTGTACCATTCCATCCATCCCCATGACCTTACTGTACAGGTCACAATCATAGAGTAACTCGGAAGGCAGTAGCCACAGCGACATAATACTATTACATATACATAGGGGTCGCGGGAATATGCTTACAAATGCAGTTTAACGTACACGCATATAAAATAAAACTGTTAACACGACACTCACAAATAAAAATTACACAAAACAATGCAAATCCTGCACACGTGTATCATTTGTATGCCCAACTAGACAGAGTGCAAAGCTGTGTACGCCTGCTCCCTTCCTGGCTGCGTCGGTCGTGTTGCTCTATGGTCGGAATCCAAATTAATACTCCATGGTTCCCTGGAACCTTAACAACAAAAACACCACTACTCAAACTAAGCTGAGCTTCTACAATGTATACCTAATAGTCCGGGAGGTAGCGTTGCATTTTTGGCAGTGATTTTACGCCGACTGTTTGCCTTCCTTTACTATTTATCGCGAACTACTTATAACTGAACCAAGCGTCAGCTGGCGCACCCGCGGTGGGTGTGGAATTGGGAGGTTGCGGAAGTGGTAAAAAAAAATAAAAAATAAAGTAATAGTACGCCAGCTCAAACTTTTTTCACGAAAAGTTGACATCATACTGAGCTGAAAAAAAATCGTCAGCTGCATCGTGAAGGGGGGATTATGTGTCAGCTGGCCGCATGAATTTGTAAAAAAAAACGTAAAATAAAGTTATGATACGTCGGATGAAATTGAACTACGTGATTCTTTAAATAATCATAAGTACGAAAATAACAATCAGCTGCGTATATAGCGGTGGAAAGACCGTCAGCTGACGCAGTAAAGGTAAAGATTATTCTAGCAATGGACAGAATCTTTCTCGATATATTTTCGTTTCGTTTTATTTGTAACTAAATAAAAGAAAATCGAGGGCAAAATGAAAAGAACCCAAAATATATTAAAAGTTAATATGAACAAAATCGAAATATAGGAATAAAAAGATCGCGAAAGTTATTCATCGTCGATGGTATCGCTGTCGTCGTCGTTCTCTGATGAATCATCGGCCGAACTGTCCTGCAGGAAATCGTTTTCTTCGTCTTCATCAAGTTCTCGACCTCGATGTTCTTGTTCGCTGCATTGGAAGCATTTATCATGCTGCTGTAAACATTTACCATCAGACACAGACACTGGTGGGTGCCGATTCTGGATGGTTCTCTAAATTTAAAACTTAATTTAACATCAGTCTCTCCTTTTCATTCTGTATAGAGAATGACAAGGATAAACTGTTGTTATATGATAACTAGTTGACACTTTTTGGAATTATGTTTTAAATTGGTAATAATTGTTCTATCACAACGAAAAAAAAATATTTTTTTTACCTAGAAGACATACAAAAACGCTATTTAGTCTATAGACTTATCTATGCTATGACGTCAAAACATTTGTAAACAAACACTCGCAAGCACGTAGGAAATAAACTTTCTAAGTTAATATTATAAAACCATGATTTCTAATAGATCACATGAAAAATATAGTAGATAACATGATACACTTGGTAAAAGACTCCAGAAAAGTTGTGGTTTAAATTGCCAAGAGAAATAAACATACTTACACATGAACATATGCTTAAAACTTGCTAAATCCTGTAACTTTATCGACTGAAAGTCTTTTCTTTTTGCAAAGATCAATTCGATGTGAGTAGGTGCTCATTGATAATATTAAAAGTTTAAAAACACAATTTTTAAGGTTATGAATGTACCTACTAAGTCAAAGAGTTTTGTCGTTTCTGCTTTCACAAATCCTGAGGCCAGCATTAATTTAGTCAACAAAACCAATAGGTAACGGGAACCTTTTCTACAAGATACAAGAGTGTTTAGATACATCTTTATAAGAAATAAACATTTGTATAGTTTTTAAGTAAAGTAACGGAAAATATTCTTCTTTATTCTAGTGAATTAAGTTATTTTACAAATTTGAAAAAAATTAAGAATATACGTAGATTCTGGGACTGAAGTTAGTAGGTTTCCAGAAAAGGCCTAAAATACGTAGATCTACGTAAAAAGACGTAGAGTTGGCAACACTGGGGAGAGGCTTAGGTAGCCCGAAGGTCGTGTTATGGGTTCAAGGAAGGCCAGAATGTATCGCAAAATATGTGTTTGAAAGCGAACAGCCTCACAGCAATACTCCATAATTTTAAATCTTGACTGGGTCAGCTGACGATCTTTCCACCGCTACACAATCAGCTGATTGTTGTTTTCGTACTCTAAATTTTTTGAAGAATCGCGTAGTTAAATTTCATTCGGCGTATTATAACTTTATTTTACGTTTTTTTTTACAAATTCATGCAGCCAGCTGACGCATAATCCCCCCTCCACGATGCAGCTGACGATTTTTTTTGCTCAGTATGACATCAACTATTTATGGAAAAAGTTTCAGCCAGCGTACTATTACTTTTTTTTTTTACCTCTTTCGCAGCCTCCTACACCCGCACCCACCGCTACTTGAGCAGCTGACGATCGGTTCACTTATTAGTCATATAATATCAACTATCGACGTTAATATCAGCCGGCTTACTATGACTTTTGCATTTGCAACGCTACCTCCCGGACTATAATTATCAAAATGTATTTTTAATTTTTTAAGCATGTAACTGCTAGATGTTTAAATCTAAAGAAAACTTTACTAGAAAAAAATCCACACGGACCAGGCAGCAGAAGGGGCTCGAACCTGCTATTCGGGCGAATGCGTTGACCATTATGCTACCGCGGCACCGATGGATGTGTCGAATTTTAACTAGCCTTTCTTAAGCTGCAAGGCAGCGCCATCTATTCGCTTTGTAGGTAACCCACAATGTCAAATGAATACTTTTACAAGTATTAAACATTTGAAAGAAGAAATATCAATTATAGTTGGTTCGAGTCCCGTCTACTGCCTGGCCCGCGTGGGATTTTTTCTAGTAAAGTTTTCTTTAATTATTAAGATTTATAATAAATTAATTCTTATAGATATGCACATTTATAACGTTGGAACTAATATTTGTGCTCATCGCCTCTACAAATAAATGCCTCAGCAAGGACTTAAGTGGAAGAAACGCCGTAATTTCACCAACCAACAAATTGGTCGTGACATAATACAAATTAATGAGTACAATTATATAAAATAATAATGATAATCTATTGTACAGGCCAATTAGAGTATACAATAAACAAACTTGACAAGTCGGTACCAGTGAAATTGAAAGAAAACTTAATGAACATCACGAGACGCATGGACCGCATCCGGAACAACACGGACTACAGTACTCTAGTGTATCGAAGCAAAGACTATGAATACGGTCTGTATAATATTGCTGTAATAAATTCTACGCCCAATCTCCCTATTCCATCCATAGGGAAGGCCTGTGCCCCAGCAGTGGGGACATTAAGAGGCTGATGATGATGATGATCCAATTTATGCAATGCATTCTCAGCGTGTTGAAAGGATACAACGTTCTTTTACAAAACACTTGGCATTCTTTTCTCAAGGTATTTCTCATAGATCTTGTTACGATCACCGTTTGATTTTTTTCAAAATGATACCCTGCGAGACCGTCGGAAACTTCACGACATGACATTCTTATATAAAGTTGTAAACAACGTCTTTAAGATCTTGCGAAGATCTTTTATCGCGCATTGCACTTAAAGTGCCACACACTGTCCCGCGATTTCCTATCAGCAGACAATTTTATATTCCACGCTGTCGCACTAATATTGGAATGTCCTCTCCAATAGTTAGAATGTGTAACGAGTACAACATGTTAAATGGTATTTCGGGCGACCTGGACATCATGCACGACTTCTTGCGCTCTTTTAGATCTGGAGTGTTGAAATCACTTGCCAAATGAATTAATTTTAATTATACCTAATGTTTATTTTGGCTAAATATGATTTTGTTTAACCGATTTCATGATTTTTCGATTCACTGTATTCTTTTAATTTGGATTTTAATTTTTCATTTTGATTTTGATTATAAATTTGTTCTGTGTTTTACTTTAAAATTATAATTGTTGACGTTGATTAAGACAATTATAAATGTTGTACATGCCTTTAATAAGTGTGCACATCACTATTATTGTGAATTTTGTATTTGTTTTTTGTATGTGTATGCTGTTGGCGTGGCTAATAAATAAATGATGATGAAATACTATACGCCTACGTTGCCACCGACTTACTGTGTTACACTATTTACACTATTTCTACACGAACAAAGAAATTTGGCGACTCATTTCTTTGTCGTACTAATCGTAAGTGGAATCCTCTACCCGCGCAAGTGTTCCCTCCTTCCTATAATCTGGGGTCCTTTAGGGGAGGCGTGAAGAAGCATTTTTGCAGGCCGGCAAGGTGTAGATGATTGGTGTAGCAGTGTATAACTGCTGTACCGGCTATCTTTCCATTTGGACTTAATTACCACTTAACATCAGATGGGGTAGAGTCATTTGCCTACCTCTGTATAAAAATAAAACTACGATCACTTTTAACCGCAATATTTTTAAAGCCTAGTCCATACACCACAGTTCTGTATAAAATATTTCATTTATAAATTAAAGCTTTAGCCAGTTTAATACTATAAATAAATATTTCCAACACACACCAATTAGCCATGCCTCAAAGTAAGCACTATAAGACTTGTGTTATGGGATACTAGGGTAACGGATAGAATACATATACTGTACATATATAAGTATATTTATATAGAAATACATATTAAACATCCATGACTGGAGTACAAATGCTCGTATTCATCACACAAACATCGGGCCCCCACTGGGATTCGAACCCGGGACCTCTCGAGTCGGCGACACCATGAAACCGTGCAAACCACTCTGCCACGGAGGTCGTCAACTTTTTCAAATCAACACATTTGTCAAAATGTTTATTAGTAATGGAGTTAGAACGTTGTTTAAACATGATTTTATTATTTTTAATATAACTATTTATTTATGACTGCCATTTTCTATACGGACATCCTTTAGAAATCAAATAGTTTTGATCTTTTAAGTGGTTTTGATGTTGCCGAATCATACGGGATTTTAGCAAACATTAATTTGTGATATTTCCCAATATTGGTTTATTTCTTTATTCAGTTCGAATCCAGTCTTGTTTCATACGTTACCAAACTTCTAACATAACTTACATTTTGCAATTGCGCATTTGAAATCGTGATCCAAATTTTTATAGAGGTGATTTAGTTTAGCATTTTAAACATGTCTAGACTTGACAGTAACGAATAGCACTATTAATTGACATCTACAATTTAAACATCGTAAAGGATTGATGATTTCTTACGAAACTTTTAATTAAATCACATACTAAATTAAAATTTAATCCCAAATCGTATGTTTAAGTCCTATTTTAGTAATTAATGGAAGATTCCCGCGAGAATGTTTTCTTTCTAGTCAATTAACAAGTTTTGAAAATGACTTCTCTTTGTTTTTCTTTATTCAACAAAGAAGGATAACAAGGATTTTGTTAAAACGAATATAGGAAATCGTTATTTTATGGGTCTTCTCTCATTATTTTTTGGGTTGTACTCAATCTAAAAATATGTTAACCCAATTTTGTATGTTTTATTAAGTAAAAGAAAATACAATATACACATATAGTAAAATCATTTTTCATATTCTGTTACACAGTAGTATAAGAGTTACATAACTGTGTTCAAGATAGCTCAGTATCGCTTATGTTTAACGATTGTGGTATCATTATTTTCTCTATAACAAGCGTTATATATAGCACGATTGTAACTTTCACATTAGATAATCAGGAAAACAACATTAACATCACTACAAAGTCAGATATCGCCAACTGCATAATTTCTCAGTAAAATATTTTTCAACTTACTTAGCTGTCTGAAATTTCAACAGAAGTTGTAATCTAACATATATTTTTTATGACACCTTATTTAGTCCCTAGGTTTATACACTAAATTGCCAATATTTTTTCAAAACCGGTATGATGCCTTATAAATTTTGGCGAACTTAAAGGGTTTTAGAAATAATAGGTGATTTAGAAATCCTATAAAAGAAGAAGAATATTACTGTGAGTATGGCTGTAATTTACTACCTAATGGAAAAAATAAGGAAGTTTTGAATATCGATACAAATGTACCATAACAAATTCCGAATGTCTGGTGAATTTTCTGAAATCGGTCGAACTATTTTCACGTGATGCTGCGTCGTACATGTGATAACCCACTGATTTTAATTTCAGTAGGTATTTTAATTTCGATATAAATTAGGACTACATGTTTTTTGTACTTTTCTTAATAAAACTGTCAATAAGGTACAATAATGACTTTCAATATAATCTTATATGGTGGTGAAATGGGGCACACAAATAAAGTCCAGTGGGTACAGTTGCAGTAGGGTCTAATCTTAAAGGTCCAGTGGGTACCAGACGAATCCAAAAAAGGCCCAATGGGCGCATTTATTAATAACTTTTTAAGAAGGTCGAATGGGCCGTGTAAATGAGATCTTATAGGAATTTGTTGCCTTTGGGTCGAATTTGAAGGTCCAGTCGGTACTAGACCTAATGTTCCCGTATTTTTATATTATTTTTATTTTTTTTATAACACACAGTTGCGAAAGCCATCTTCGAGAATATGGAAGTGATGGCGTCATCGATGGAGCCGATCACAGTCGGCACTATGGGTACTCAAAAGCCTTACCGTTTTAATTTTGAACAATACGTACAAGAAGCCAGAACCAAAATGCCAACAAGAAAAGCAGCAGGTGCTATAGTTATATTCTATTAAAAATCTTTCTCAGGTCATTTTAATTTAATTTATTAGGTCTTTAATATCATTGAGCCACATGCTTTCAAATACATATATGGTTGTTTTCTTTTAAGTGCGTTGTATTTTGTTAAGGTAATGGATGGGCATTATAACATTTATTTTTTTGATAATGAACGTTGCATGTTTTGTTATTAGAGTGTATCTTTATTGCACACTTGATGATAATTAAGTGCTGCAAATAATAAAGTTTCAGATTAAGCTTGTATATTTTAAAGAGCTATCTCTTTATAAAACATGCCAATTTGTTTAGATTCTTAATAATGATGTTGCCAATTTTAACAATGGAGTATCAAAATGCAAAAACCTTGACACGCTTCTATTCACTGAAGGCTAGCGTTTTTTAGTAGTTCCTCTATTGACCACAGAGCGGCGCTGTTGGAATTAGTCCAAAGTAGCAATTACCGTAGTCAAAAGCATTTTTTTAGTCCACTTTCGTGTAGTTTTAGTAACAAAACCTTACAGACGCCTGTACAATGCAGCTATTGATATCTGCTATGGAAATTCAGACTACGCAAAACGAAGGCACTTGTGAAATGACCCCTGAATGTAACACACAGTTGATGCAAGGTTCTGGGCTTGCTTTTCAACAAACAAGTCGTGTACGTGCCGCTGTATTAGCCAAACTCTTTGATTGTATGGAAGGCACCGACTTGTCTGCACACATCTACAAGTTATGCATACAAATATACAAGGAAACCAAGTCACTAGAGTCTTGGGACCATCCGGCTGGTACTAGAACTTTATTTATGCAACAGAGTGAGTATTTAACGCTGCACAATAACGATGTGAAGGTTCTATATATATAATAGGACGTCTTATTGTAATTAAAATTTATTATTACAAATTCCAGTTTTCTTTTGTGCGTCTCAAGGTTACGGGGAATTTATTAAGCCCCGATGGATGAACAAAATCATATCCTGGCAGGAACCAAAAGGGTGCTACGCTGATGACAGGCAACCATTTTTGAAATTGACCGGCTATGTAGGAGTTGCGGCTAGTCCTCCCCAGAAGGAAAGAGAGGTAAAATATAGACACTTAAAACATTTCCTTTACCGATGTCGCTTCTTCTAAAGTTTTCAACATTTTAGAGTAGCATAGCAGAAACCTAATTAATATCCCTCCGCTGTCTCTCTATCAGCGTGCTAATATTTTCGAACTTTCTGCAATGGTATCAATATATTTGCCTTTGATTTCTATCAATACCGAAAAAGGTATTTTAATATCTAAATAAAGTGTGAATGAAGAAGTGCACGTATGAAGTGTATATCCCGGCAAACTTCTTGAGCAATAGACACATGGAAGCCTGCGCAGTAGCAATTTTATGTACAAAAACGCAAGTCTGTGGTTCTGCTCAAGAAGTTTGCCGCGACCTATGTATACATAGTTAGGGGAACCTATACTTATGTTGCCCCACATACAATGATGGGCGTTTTAGTATATATACTAAAATATAAAGAAATTTTTAAAACAACGCTGAACACGATATTCGTATCTTTTTATTGTTCTTTGTTGGCAATTCTTTAATCTTCAGTAGTTAATTGACCTCTATAAATAGCATTTTTACTAAGTTTGATTGTTTTCGTTTCGCATATGCAACAAAAATGTGGCCATTTTATTGAAGTCAATAAGAGATAGGTGGTTTTAAACAAATTATCTTCTGACTTAATGTTAAATTTTTTCAACATAATTACTATAATGTAACCACTGCATAGATGGAAATTCTATTTTTGCAGGGTTTTACCTAACATTCAGCAAAATGTCAATATTTTGGTGTGCCATTCTTAAGTATAATCTCTAGTCTGGCAATACAATCATTGGCACGTATGTTAATAGCTGAATTATATTTTTCTGCTTCTATTATTTTTTATATTTATAATAAATCAACATTATCATCATAGCACACATATCAGCTGCGCTCGATGGCGCAAGTGGAAAGCACGTTTGGTTTGCGATCGTCGAAGATAAAGAACTTTCTCAATGGTCTGTCATTGAATGGATGACCAAAAACTTATTGTCTCGAGTTCCTCTGTACTTCTGCAGTCGTTAACACCCACCTATCCACACTGGGCCCACGTATTGGGTCACGGCCCAATCTCCCTATTCCATTGTATTCCATCCATAAGAGGGCATTAATAGGCTGGTGATAATGATGACACATATAAACTCGAAAACGGATTGGTACCGACTCGCCTTTCGGATTACGGTCAAATAGGCGTCCACCTAACTTAAGCGGATAAGCTGTTCCAGTACGTTTAGATATGGTACGTATCTTAGATTTAGGTTAATATATTAGAATTAAAAAAAATCCAGAGGGCCAATCACTTATATACTATCATTTGAAACTGTTTCTGTTGATTTTGGAATATTTTAATTCATGAAAATATCAAACGAAACAAATCATCAAACGAATTAAAGATCAAACCCTATTTACAGCATTGTGGAACTACATTTAATCTATCAAACTAATAATGAATTTACTACAGACAAACAAATGAAGAATTCCGCTTAAGGGGCCAATCATTATATAGTCTACCCTATGTTTATAGGAGGAGTATCGGGTAAAGAAAGCGGCAACTTCAGAGGGAGGGACATGCAACTCCTTGACATCGGCAATGGCGCTGGGCTCGATGGTTATCTACGTGCGAGCACTACTAGAAACCGATCAGGCGTTCCAGTACGACGTCCTTTTGTAATAACACCAAGTTGAAAATTTAATTTTAATATATACTCCTAAATATATTTTTCTTATTCTTATGAGATGTTATACCACATGATCGCCAGGTGCAGTGGGAGCTAATAGTCTTAAAAACCATAAACTTATTATACTTTGTAGTATATTAACTTTATGTTCAAAACTTATAAGCCTGACTAAATTGTGACGTAAGAGACCACGGAGATCGATCACACTATTGATTACATATTATGCAATGCAGTAGTAGATATAAAAATTATAGATATAGGATGTAAGAAAAATCCAGAAATAATTCGTCTATGAATTAGAAAGAGAGAGAATATTTTTTAAAAATAACCATGAATAACTCTGGTTATAAAATAACCATAATGTACCCATCTCAGATTACCAAAACTGTCAGAACCATATGTCAGAACGGTCAGTCAGAAGTTAAATTTAAAATAAATATAAAATGAATATTATCCGCACCAAAGCGTCTTATTATGTTTTTGGCTTATCTAAAATATTAATTAGGAGTGAATCATCAGCTCAATCGATTAAACCACCTATCCCTATATTCGGTGAGTTATTTGGTTCTTGTAAAATGGAAAATTTACTCGCATTAAATATCGGTTACTTGGTATTCATATTTTTGACTACCTATCTATCTTTCTGTCTTAACACCGTGTCTCCAATTTTATTTAAATTCATACACAAGGTCTGGAAGGGCGTTATGTGTCAGCGTTATATAGTGCTGCTCTTCAGATGAAACAAATGGATGATGTTGAAAAGCACCTCCGGGCATTGCAAAAGGAATTACTGAAGCCTACTGTTGTCGACTTCATAGAAACCAGTATGATATCTTCCAATGACAAAGCAAAACTTATGCGAGAAGTCGGACAACAAGCAGGTATTAGCCCACTTGATTTAACGATTTTGACCGCTCAGGTTAAAAAAAAAACATTTTTTAGCCAGCTAGACCAATGGAGGGTTACATATCTAAGATAAGGACCTTAATAGAAATCTTAAAAGCTACCCTTAATATCATTTAAATCTCAATTTAATACAAAATATTGTCTCGTAAGTAACGGATTTAGACGCGGTCTTTACCATAAGTTAGATAATTTTTCGCGGATATAAGCTATATATCAAATATACGTAGCACCTAGAAATGACTACTTAGCGTTTGGAGATTTTTATGTGAGCGTATTGAAGTATACCTATGTGCGTCAAAAAACAGTGCAAAAAGTAGCCGCATGATTTAACCTGATCAAACAACTGACTCATCCTGCGCACGGGAATATTTTAATGAATATTTTGAAGTATACCTAATTTTGAACATTATTATTTTTATTTCTTTTTAAATTTATTTCTAAATCAAGCAATAAAATTTTGTTGTTTCTCATTGAGAACAGGTATGCCATCTGCAGCTATCAACTTTTTAGGATTAGTCGCTGAAAATGGACGCTTGAAAAAACTAAGACGTATGATCAACATGTTACTTACCGTAATGGTTGCTCATAGAAACGAAGCTTTATGTGAAGTGATCACAGCGAAACCTCTGGATGATGGTGATAAGAGTGCTCTCATGGACGCTTTGCAGAAATTTGTGAAAGACGGTAAGAAAATTCAACTTACAGAGAAGATTGATCCTTCTATCATAGGAGGTATGATTGTCGGAGTAGAAGACAAACATATCGATATGAGTATTGCGAGAAAGATACAAATGTATACTGATATTTTGAAACAATCTTTGTGATATTTGCAGTCAACGTTAATAAATATGTCACTTCCCTGATTTTGAAGTTTTTTAGCATGGATCAAAGAGTTATAATTACAATTACTTGCGTAACTATTTTGTAGGAATAAATAACAATAACAGATTAAATAATAAATAATAAATTTTATTACATTAAAATAAACATCGGTGAAGTTATGGCCAGACATGCCACATGGGAGCGTTAAACATGTGGTTGGACAACGCGCGCAGCTCTAGAGATAAGAGACAGCGCCATACCTTAGGGTTCCACGTTGATACCCACTCGACGGTATTATCATATTGGCTTGGTAGCCATGGTTTTGCCCCTTTGGGGAATTCGCACAAGGAGTGTTCGCTATTAAATTATTTATCTTCTCTGCGTGAATTCTGAAGTTAACTCTGCTGCTCGAAAGACTTCCAGTCATGACCCTCTGGAAACTTGATGTCAGTACCCACAGCTCCTGTTCTCCTTTTAGGTTATTTATGACTTTTACTCCACTGGCGAATTGTAGTGTCTCCCTATCAACAGCGAGTTGATAGAAGTTTCTTTGATTGAATTCTGTGGCTGAGTTCCAGCACCAAATACTGGGTGGCTCCATTATACCGAAATATAAAACACCATTGCGGTCCATTGCTTCAGCTGCCGACTGATTTGGTCTTTCATCGGGAAAAGACTGAAACATTTAAAAATGTTTATATAACAAAAGTTGATAGTAATTCAAGTGTTACTATAACACCTTACTTGAAGTAAAAGCGAAAGAGTACTAGGGAAAAACATATTATCATACAATCATACTCATGAATCTGATAAATATTGATTTTTTTTGATGAATATCTCCGTCTAGGGAATGTTGAGATCATTGAAAAAGCGTACCCAATCAGTATAGGTGCGTGCGTCTTTTGTTATAGATCGCGCCAAACTTCTAGTCTACTCTGAAGTTGTTTCGCGCAGGTGTACAGCACTAAACACAACGTTCGTTCCTTTAAATACGAGCTACGACGCGAATAGGGATGATGCCTAATTTTTTTTTCTTCGTTTATCAGGTAGATTATCAAAAAGTATTGGACACGTATTTTTTCTTTTTTCACATAACATAAACATTGCAGAGATATATTGATTTGAAAAGTCGCATGACGTAACGTTTGAGTACACTTATAAGTGAAAATTCACTCAAAAGTGACGTCACGAGCCCCTACTCCCAAACTTTGACGCGCTATAACTTTGTCATTTTTTGGTTGATTGCCCAAAGAAAAAATACGTGTCCATTATTATTTGATCATCAAACTGACGGACTAAATAGAATTTCGTTTACTGTACCCCGTCATCATCCCTATTGTGCACTGTTCAGAGCGGACTAGAAGATTGGCGCGATCTATACCTGCATGTACAAGCGTAAAGTAATCATCTTGCTGCTAAATGTTGACTATTTTCCATCATACCCATTTGCTTTTATAAAATATTGTTATTTAATAATATTTACTAGAGTGTGTAAAACTTATATTTATTTATTTTAACTAGATGTATAGTGATGATTGTATTGCACGAATAAACCTTTCTGGTTTTTGTTTGCACTATATATGTATTGAAAAATTGTAATAACACTTGATTAAATAAACAAATAAAAAAAAATTACAACAGTGTATCCTTGTCATTCTCAATCAGTCTCTCCTCTTCTTTCTGTGTCGAGAGTGACAAGGATACACTGTCGTCAAATCTAATTTTTAATTTAGAGCATCATGCCAGAATCGACGCCACTGTTGTTAAATTTACTTTTAATTTTAGAGAATAATGCCAGAACTTCTGGTAACATTTCCAAGAACGGAAGAAATACTAATTTACCGCGGTTTGCGTGGTATGGGGATGGCCGTACGAAGGGGTAGAATATAGAAAAAAATCAAGCGCGTCAGACATTAAGAAGGGATGTTACGTGAACTCTCCAGTAGATCTTATTCAAAAGACAGACGATTTGGACACGACCAAAAGTCATAGCCGTTTGTTGATTTCTTTTGCTGCCCTAGACGTTCGGTTCTAGGGCAGCGGCAGCTCTCATAGACGGCTCAGGTATGGTGGGAGTACTTAAATAGGTGCAAGGTTACCCCCTATATGTTATTTTTCCGCGCTCGAGTAAATCTAGAAATCCCCGCTCCGGCTCCCCTACATGTAATGTTGCCTACCCCCACTACTCCTATTCCTGTACGTATCCCTTCCCCCGAGCATGTGGCCATGCCAGCGGGGTTCAAGTTGCGTTTCACGAAACTACGGTCCCTTATCAACAGGCCAGCCATTTTTTTAAAGAAAAAATAATTAAGCATTTATTAACTATCTTTGAACATATACCCTGACCTGACCTGACCTTGTCTCGGTATCAGTTCGATGCTGGAGCACCAGACTAGTTATTGTACTACTTACGTTGATAGATTTAGGTTCAGCGTTAGGGTCGGCGAGGAAGGAGTCGTTGCGTAGAACCTTCGTGCGCACCACGTTCTCGGTAGTGGCGGCCAGGGCGTGGAAATACAAGAAACGGTCACGGCCCTGCTTGTATGGGGACAGCGCCATCCCAAGCACGCCATCCATCAGGTCGAAACTCTCACCTTTAACAATATCACGGTTATGGTAAACAAGTTTGTTATTTCATCTCCATAATATTATCGTTATCATCATCAGTCTATTAATGTCCCCACTGCTGGGACACAGGCCTTCCCTTTGGATGGAATAGGGAGGAAGAATTGACACACCATTCAAGCTCAGCTCGCTGGGTGCTAACGATTGCAGATGCAGCCGGGAACCATGTCTTAACATGCCTTCTGAAGAAGAGAAGAGCTCGATATAATAAGTGTTTGATCACCCATCCAATGGCCGAACATTGCGAAAGTTGCTTAACTACCTCCATCGCAGGCCGAACGCGCTAACCGTCTGGGCCATCGAGCTTATTTATTAGGGAAGAGCGCACACTCTCCAATCGTTAAATGAAACCCTTTTTAACAGGCAAATAAACATGTATATATTTTTATTAACGTTTTTAATTGAATAATCTTAGAACGGTCGTTAGTTTTAAGCATATATATAGTATAGGAGGATATTGGTGTCGATTCTGGCATGATTCTCAAAACCCAAACTTATACAGTGTATCCTTGTTATTCCCTATACAGAATGAAAAGGAGAGACTGGTGTTAAATTTAGTTAAGAAATAAGAAACAAATAGGTCAGTTAACTTTTAAGTTTGATTAAACTTATTGCTCTCACTTTCTTGGTCATAATGCTGTTATGACAGAAGTGAGAATACACGTTACTTTATATGTGTTATTAAATTTATTTGTCCTCTGAGTACGGCCATGAAAGATACAAATAATGTATCTGTGTAACATGATAAACAACAACGATGATAAATATATTGGAAAACATTATCATAATCGTCACCCTATATTGGGGTACAAAAAAGCTAGGAAATTATTCACAGAGCTAGTGGGGAAAGTGGTAGTTGGGTTGACAGAACTATCCAACAGAACCCTCTCAGGGGATGATCGCTTCAGAAGAGGCTTGTTAGGCACCTCCGGCCATAAGCTTGAACTACGGGTGTGTATTAGTCAGTAGGAGTCTGACATCACCTTGCAGCCAGCTGTAGGGTATCCATGAGGATTTCACAACCGCTCCCTCGCCTGGGAGCAAACAAAAAAATCGGCGGTTAAACCGCATCATCCCTTTCTCAAGGGATGATCGTTTCAGATGAAGCCTGTAAGGCCTTTCTGGCCATAAGCATGAAATACGTGTGTGTTTTAGTCAGTAAGAGTCTGACTTAACCTTGCAGCCAGCTGAAGGATGTCCATGAGGATATCACACCCGCCTGGGAGGAAACAAATCAAAATCGGCGGTTATCATTCGTATTTAAAAAATTATATATGGAATTGATAGTGAGATGGAGACGCAGTTTGACTTTGATTAAGGTATTTTAGTTGAGATACATAGATTTATATTTTCTAAAAATTGATTTTTCTAATTTTCGATACAGAAAATAAAGACCCCATGCTCAAATAATTGTGGTAACTACAGGCTACTACGGAACCCTACACTGCGTGTGGCACGACACGCACTTGGTCGGTTTTTGTTTCATCATTTTATTACATATTATATAAATATTACCTCTAAACTATTAAACCAGTTTTTTGTTGTGACCTCGAACTCGCATGTGATGTCTTTCCACATTCCATATAATCGAGAAGAGTATCAATGCAAAAAATTACATTATATTTTTTATTTAAGTAATGGACAACATGAGATTAACTTTATTTGTATGTAATAAAGTTTATATAATTAAAAATAGTTTATGATAGGACAAAAGGGGGATGATACAAAATGATTTTTATTGCACAATACAACTAGCGCGACCAGTGGCATAGGTACCAATGGATTTTTAAAAACTAAATTATTTTTCGATACGTAACTTTTAAATGTAAAACTATACTATGCCCATGCTTATAAATTAAATGTTTTCATATTATTAAGTTTCTTGTTACAAATACATAGTTGAACTAACTTCAGTCTGTGAAGCAGCAGAGTTATTATCTAACTTGAACCCAGGGTGCTCATGAATATCGAGACAAAAAGAAGCGCTCAAGATGCCACTAAAATTCTTCTAAAGGTGGTATAGACCACACACATCTCAGTTACTGCTCTAAAAAGCGTGATAAGAAATTAAAATTCGAAATTTTGAACGATTTCATGCAAAAAACCGAAACAGCGACTCAGACATATTGCGAACTCTGGTTACTATTACTTTGCTGGGTCTTGCCATGGCTACCCTTTTGAGTTATCCAAATTTGAAAGCAGTCCTTCTTTGATGTCATTCCCTGTGTGAAGAGCATGATAAGGATATACCTACTTCTGTCTCTAATTAAGTGATTAAATATTCGCTATGTATGCATTCCTTACTTTTGGAGTAGGTATTTGGAAATTTTTATCTTAACTCTTTTTTCACAGACTTGATGTTTGTTTTGCTACAGTTTTCGCAACATTAACAGTAACGCTTTTGCATCTTTAGCTAACAAATAGGGAAACAATATATCATAATCTTATAGAATGGGAAATGGCATTGACGCCGGGTTTCATGGTGTCGCCGACTCGAGAGGTCCCGGGTCCGAATCCCGGTGGAGGGCAGATGTTTGTGTGATGAATACGAGAATTTGTACTCCAGTCATGGATGTTAAATAATGTGTTTCTATATAAATATACTTATATATCCAAAGAAAAGTTTTTACTAGAAAAAAATCCACGCGGACCAGGCAGTGGACGGGACTCGAACCCGCACCCTTCGCAATCCGGGCGAATGCACTGACTAATTATGCTACCACGGCCCTGATGGCCACGTCGAAATTTTCCTAGCCTTAAGCTGCAAGGCAGCGCCATCTCTTCGCATTGTAGGTAACCCACAATGTCAAATGAATACTTTTTCAAGTATTAAAGATTTGAAAGAAGAAATAGCAATTATAGTCATGTTTTTATTTTGTTTTAGCATTTAACTGCTACATATTTAAATCTAAAGAAGAGATTTTACTAGAAAAATATCCACGCGGACCAGGCAGCGGTCGGAACTCGAACCCGCACCCTTCGCAATCCGGGCGAATGCACTGACCAATTATGCTACCACGGCCCTGATGGCCGCGTCGAAATTTTCCTAGCCTTAAGCTGCAAAGCAGCGCCATCTCTTCGCATGTAACCCACAATGTCAAATGAATACTTTTTCAAGTATTAAACATTTGAAAGAAAAAATAGCAATTATAGTTATGTTTTCATTTTTTTAAGCATTTAAACATCTAGCAGTTAAATGCTTAAAAAAATAAAAACATACTTATATATGTATTGTATACGATTCTATCCGTTACCTTAGTATCCCATAACACAAGCCTTACAGTGCTTACTTTGGGGTTAGGCTAATTGGTGTGTGTGTTGGAAATATTTATTATTATTATTTACTCGAGCGCGGCAGAATAACATAATTGTAGCAACGTGGCACCTAGTTAAATAATCCCACCGTACCTAAGCCATATATGTAAGGCCGAACGTCTAGGGCATAAAATTCAAAAAGCGACCATGACTTTTGGTCGGGTCCCAACCGTCAGTCTTTTGAATAGGAGCTATTGGAGAGTTAACGTAAAAACCCTTCTCAATGTCTGACGCGCTCGAGTTTTTTCCTAAATTCTTCCCCAGCAGATCAATATTTTTTCCGTTTTTAGAAACGTTTTATGAACTCTCTAGTAGATTCTATACTAGAAACTGACGATTTGGACGTGACCAGAAGTCATTGTCGTTTTGATTTTTTATGCCGCTTTTTACGTTCGGCCCCACATAGAAGGTATGGTGGGAGTGCTTAACTAGGTGCGACGTTGTCCCCCATATGTTAATCGGCAGCACTCGAGTAAATCCAAATAATCCCCACTTGGGCTCCCTTACCATTATTAACGACCTTCGTGATCGAGTTTTAAGGATTGCAGTGTCCCGAATTCGGTTCCTTAAAGTATAAACTTTTCATCATTTTCTGAGTGTTTGTGGTAGCTCTTGTTTCTTTTTTCTTTAAAAGAAGTTCTGCAACTACTTACCACCAACGAAACTTTTTCGGCCTGAAGTTAGATGTTCGGCTGCGCGTAAACAATGTATTGCTAAAAATCCAATATGCAACCAACTAGCTAACTTTTGACCGGCCAAGATTCGTCTTATACCGTAGTTAATACGGGACCAGGCGATGTGATGTAATCCAATATATTTATTAATCGTATCCAAATTAGCTCACCAATCATACAATAAAGAGTTCTAAACGTTAGAATAATGTAAAATAACTAATAAAATCGCGCCTAATACCCATTCGAAAAGAGTTTCATTAAATCAAAACTCAAAATTCGACGCGCAAATGGTTAGCGCTTTCGGCTGCGATCATTGAAGTTGAAGAAGCAACTTTCGCAGTGGTCGGTCATTGGATGGATTGGACCAAAAATCTACTATTTCGAGCTCCTCCGCGCTTCGGAGGGCATGTTAAGCTGTTGGCTTTGGCTGCAACTGCTGTCGTTAGTACCCACCAATCCACACTAGGCCCGCGTGTTGGGTCATGGCCCAATCTCTCAATGCCATCCATAGTGTATGCCTATGCCCCAGCAGAGGGGGCCATTAATAGGCTGATGATGATGAAATCGAAACTATTAAATACTTCAATTTACCATCGATGGTGAAGGTCCCGTGGTTGGGATACGGGAACATGAACCTGTGGGTGACGCGCCAGGAGCGATCTTTGGCGACGTCTACAACCAACATTCCGAACCCAGACACGTCAGCCACATACACGAACGTGTCTGAGCAGTCTCCCGGTCCTGAGCCTCGCACGTCCACTACCTGGAAATAAAAGATATAATCGATTGAAGCATTCAATCAAATACGCTAAATTGAGGATGAAATTATTAAAGTCCGTAGCTTAAATTCAGTAAAGCTACATCAAATTATAATAGAATAGAATAGCCAGAAGATCATAATTATATGTTTTTTGGTATATGTTTCGATGAGTAAGGTTTCAATAATCCACGGTAGAGGATTTGGTCAAGGCAAGATATCGTTGCATGTGATACTCTGGTAAGTTGACGACCGTTGTGTTTCAGTGGGTTCAAGTGGAAATAAAGGCGATAGACAACGAAACTATTACTAGGCACTAAACTAAGTGAACTTGTTCTTTGAATAAAACTAAGGAATACATTTTCGAGTAATATACTTTCTCTATGCAAATTAACGTTGAATAATGAAATGTAAAAACACCAAAAATGTTATTTTCAAAAACTTTAAAAAACGACTGTCGAGAAGATACGTGTACAGTTTGACATCTGTATCAAAACGAACCATGAAGAACAAGCGAATCAAGGCTATCACAGCACCTACCGCAAAAAAATAGAAAAGGGCAACACGACCTAGCATTAATGTCTCGCATAAAAAGCGGTTAAAAAGTACCTAGTCATTTAAATAAAAATGGTATGATTTTATAGGTCAATTTATATATTTTATCCTATCTAATATAGTTTAGTAGTAAGTGTAGTGTAGTAGTATGGTGAATACAGTCGGGAACGAAGACGCGAGCATCCACGATACTAACTATACACGATCTGTACGCAAAATTCGTATATGCATTGTAATCACAGATTTAAAATCAGAATTACAGTTATTACGGGAACAGTTTCCTATGGCTGCGGTTTGGCCTTGTATAGAATGGAAAGACGCGGCAGTGTAGCTGGAAGCGTTCACAACATGCCTGTACAGCAGCCTGTCGACGTCCAGGTCGAAGGTGAGCAGCTGCGGCGGACGATGCCGCGTGTCATGAATGTTGTCCGCGTATCAATATACTGGTCAATTTACCGGTGCGGCGTGATGAACAGTGAAGTGGCGATGTAGCTAGAGGCGTTTACGACATGCATGTATACAGCAGCCTGTCGGTGTCCTGATCGAAGGCGACCAGTTGCGTTGGGCAATGCTGCGTGTCGCTGATCTTGTCCGCGTCCATTACCCAGCCATACCATTAAATACATATATTCCGCTTAACTCACCGGTGTGATGAACAGTGATGTGCCGATGTAGCTGGAGGCGTTTACGACATGCCTGTACAGCAGCCTGTCGGTGTCCAGGTCGAAGGCGAGCAGTTGCGGCGGGCAGTGCTGGGTGTCGCCGATCTTCCCCGCGTCCATCACCCACAGCCTGTTACACTCGTCGATCTGTTGAGGAAATAACAATCTTAAAAAAATGTCTTTAGATTTGTAAATGCTTAAAATAATAATACAACTACAATTGCTATGTCTTCTTTCAAATGTTTTATGCTTGTAACAAGCATGAATAATTAAAATAAATAAATAACGACTACCGTTAAATAATAACTAAAAAGTAAAAAAAAATAGTATTTATCTCATTTTACTGGTAATCCGGTTTATTTATGTTTCTATATTTATATATTACTATAAATGAGTTGGTCTCATTAAAACCTTTCAATGATGCCTATATTGTTGTAATTAGAAGACTTTTTTTATTGGCAAATAATTAACATTCTGACATTGCTGTTATTTCAATTTTAACAGTTTAGGTATCCTATGTTACCCGGGATTGTCAAAGGATTTTTAACCATAACACGCACATCTTAATCGTTTTAGGCATTTATAATTTTTGGTGGAATAAAGATTTGTACATACATACATGAACCCTGAATATATTACATTCTTTTTTTGGGCAGTCGTGCAAAAAGAATTCGTTTAACATTGTGGTTTACCTATAATGCGAGGAGAAGGCGCTGCTTTGCAGCCTAAAAATGTTAGAAGAGAACCGATACTGCAATTAAGGTCTAGGTAGAATAGATTGTTAGTCAAACAGACAGACAAATCCTGTCTGGAAAGACTTAGGCCGAGTGGATTTTTTTACAAGCAAAACTATACTTTACCTTTTTAAATTTTGGTTGTCAGTTTAATGTTGTAAATAACAATTCAACAACAATCTTACGAGTTTGGTTAAAGTTTGTAATTCGCAAAGCCTTTTTTTTTGGATATGTCATGAAAGAATGTTAACGGAACACTTAAATAAGCCTCCACTGTAAATCCGGCCATTATTTTGTCAGCAATCGGTATCTGATGAACCGTATTAAGTAGGTAAACATTCAAATTGTTGGTCAAAGTTTGTATTTAAACAAGAAGAAGATAGGTAAAGTCGGATCACAATAAGTCTGCAGTAGACTGACAGTAGCAAAAAACAACGGGTTGCACTCCGGCAGTGCCGGCAGAAGTGAAACTTGAATATTAACTTTGTGCATTTTTGATATTTGAAATGGTTAGGAAATAATTTTGCACGAATTGCTTTAATTATCAGTATAAAAGTACAATCATTTATGTAATAGAATATAATGAAAGTCAACAACATTTCCAATTTTATTGTTTTCGTCTTACGAATTTTCGATCAGGCCACGTGTAACGCGAGTTTAAATATTTTTACCCATTACAAAAAAAAGTGTACAACGCCGCTAAACAAGTTTTCACTTCATAAAACAATAATAAATAGATCTTTAATTTGGTAGGTACTGAATTTTGTCTCAAGCGCCATGTCCACAGTCCCAATGAATATCTAACGATATATCAAAATGTTCATAATATTCTACTAATGGTGTCTGACTCTCAGAGCTGTCTTTTTTTCAGAATAAGATAGTCTATATAGCAAGAACTCAGCATATCATACTTTTTATAGCAATGAATAATATTCTGCAGGAGTCCTCAGAGTACCAGATTCCATGAACACCTTAGCGTTGTTTACGTTTTAACCTCAAACACTTTGTCATTTGTACACGGCTTTTTTACTGCTTCTACTTTTCAATCGTAAAATTTTCTTAATTCACTATAATAAATGTCTTTAAACCAAAACTTTTTTTTTTGTAAAAACTTCTTCAACCCGTAGAATTTGCACCGTTTCGATATTTTTATAAATTACTACTCGACTCCATTTTTCTTGTTTTGATTAATGCGCCACGCGTGGTAAGAAAAAGAACTAAACACTTCAATTTGCCGCGGCATTTTGTAAACGCCCATTGAATTGTCTCTCAAAGGTTGTGGCATATTATAAAGTGACAAGACAATTAATATTTTGCCTTCGGAATATTCTAAAACAGCGAGCGTTTTAAATACACGACGCGTTTGTAAAATGCGAAATCATACAAATTGCCTGCGACATTTATACATAAAACCTACGAGGAAAAGAAAAAAATGGGCTACTCGCAGTATCTAATCCTATACGAAGTACTTACAATAAATCTGTGATAAAGTTCATCTTATGAATTGATGAAAAATAAATGATCATAATAGGTATTTATGATTATTGAAATTTAATGAAGAACTCAGAATTTTATTGTTTTCTTTAACGGTTTCATGTTACTAAAGCCTTACTCTCCCCGGACTCCGGACTCCCTGTCTTTATTAATCAGCTCGCGATTATTTTGGTTTTGTAATTATGAACGATAATTCTGCAAAATTCGAAGCAAATGATATAAAGTTTTATGGGTAAATCACCCCTTCCATCGCCCTATCCCTATAATTATTTCGATAATGTAGGTAATTTCTATATGAAAATTAATCATAATCGATTTAGCTATAAGGGGGCGGAAGCGTAACAATCAAATTCACTTTCGTATCTATAATATTATTTATTTTTGGTAAATAGTGATATTATACTAGTGAATTTATCACAACGGGATAAAATATAGCCTATGTTACTCGGATATATTGTAGTTAAAAAAAAAAAATTTATTAGATAAAAGTTCTCTGGGAGATGTTGTCAGAGTAGATTTTTTTCAAGTAAAAGTTTTCTTTAGATTTATAAATCGAGCAGATTAATCAACGATATTGAGATTTATGCTTGAAACTATAATAAATAATGTAGACCACCTTATGTTTAATGAATTTTCGTAATCAGTTCAGTAGTTTGAGAGATTATTTGTTACAAATATACAACTCTTGCATCATTATTATATTAGCATAGATAATTAGGATAATAATATTTAATTGAAGAAAAAGATTTAAAAATAAACTAAATAATAGGTTTATTTGATTATATATGTAAAAATTACTTAGCATTTTTGGTAAATAGTGATTCGTTATTCGCTAATTTAAACATAATTTTTATTTTGTTAATAGGTAGAAAAAAATATTTGGAGAATAATTGCTATTATTGCACCATTTGCAATACCTACTAGGCTGGTAGCAGCCTGATTGATAGGTGGAAGTACTCTTTATTCGAGTTTAACACTACTAATAAAAAAGGGTAGACCAGAAAGCCTGCGACCTGTAACTGGTGAACGATTTAAAAGAGATCGATAAACATGTAAATCTATACATTAGGTGATAAATTGATAATAAATGAGATTTCTATGCTTTTAGTTTAATCAAATATTATTAAACTTTGCTTTTGGTGAGTGTATAATTATTTAATTAAGCGATCCAAGGCAGTTGCCATCAGTGTTTAAAACAACAGACGGGAATTATTGCTTTCGTCAACCTGCGACATTAACGTCATTATTTGGTATTGTATATAGGGTGATTAACAACGTTTGAAGTAAAACTCTGGCATTTATTCGGTTTCTGTGAATTATGTAGGTAAAACAAATTATAAGACTTGAATATGACACTGCATTTGTGTATCACAATCTTAAAGTCGGACGTTGACAATGCACTGCCAATTTTAGATAGTCGACCAATATCGTTGTAGTCGACGAATAAAAGTAAATGAATTTTATAGCTAGTCCTAAACTTTTAAAAAATACATAAGCAAAAGATGACCACCGCAACGTACTTAATAATCCCCGCGATATTAACTCCCTTACTGAAGTGAATAGACTGCGGTTTATAATATTATAATCCTAACTAAATAGTGTGGAATAAAAAAGGTAAATTTAAAAAATCAAACAATCGACCTCTTAAATATTACTTCAAATAATTGTTTTTGTCTTTTAAATTTTTATTGGAAGTAATATTTAAGCATATGTTTATTTTCTATTTTTTTAATTTAGCTTTGTTGATGAGTTTTTATAATACACCTTTTATCATACTCACAGCAGTTCTGAAGACAGACGTCATGCCCTGACAGTTGTGCCCTTGGTGGTCATGCCAGGAGTAGTCTGGGTAACCTGCGATGCGACCAAGCTCGTCCACCGTGCCCAGGGTGACCGGTCGGCCGACGTCGAACCGGGGTATCGTAACGAATATGCGAGACTTCTGCTGACCTGTATTATAACTGTTATTAATGCTTTGAATTTACTAAAAATACTCAGAACTAAGGTCCACTTGCACCAAAATCTTATTAATATTTTATTTAAATTAATCTTTCTTTTAAAGCTAATCACATTTACGCCTCATACTGTCTCCATTTGACTTTATACCATTAACAAAGATGGAATGGATGGATGGATACGGACCAATGCACTTGGTTTGCGGTCATAGAAGTTAGGCAACCTTCACAATGACCGGTTATAAAATTATCTGCACTTGGCCCGCGTAGTGAGTATGGCTGGTTTCAGATATTACCTACGCGCATGGGATGGTCCATCAGTCAGGATTAAGCTGATGATTATTATTATTAAGTAAACGGGATGAGGAAAAATAATTAAAAATGAAAGGGTTAGTAACATTCAGTATAAAATACTTAAAAGTTAGGTAATGAATACACAGAAATTATATTCCCTCCGGATCACCTGACTGTACATACCATTAAGCATTACCATTTATGGTATAAATGACTCTGATATATCCCACTAGCATAATCATTAGTAACATACGAGTGTGTCACCCGGTTCTGAATTTTATTTTTTTATTCCAAACAATGCATTTAAACCAATAACCACCTTATTTGTGTTAGAAATCACAAAGTATATTTTTAATAAAATAAAAACATACAACACAAATAGTATTTCATCGCATTTTATTTATAGGTACTTACTACTGCACCACTTGCCATCTGCAAAAATTATTTAATTATATCAGTTATTTATATAGAAAGAATTAAAAATTAGTTCATTTGTAGTATTTTTAAATAAAAACAATATTTATTCAATATTTTGTCATAATTTAAAATTATCTAAAATGGTAGCTCTGTAAATTAAAGTTATGTAGATGACGTTATAGATAACGCTATCGACTTTCACACTGATAATTTTATATTGTCTCAAGAAATAGTTACATTAATGTTCGATACATGGCGCTTGTGAGGTACATACATCGCAAGTAAGAGAATATTTACTATAATAAACCGAGTATTATTTGAGAGAGACAGTGAGTTTTATTTCCAATAAATGTCTGAATAGTAATGAAATGGCCGGTATTTTATTTGCAATAGAGACACTTCTAGCGGCTAACTGTAATACAACTGGCGATAGATGGATGAAATTTTTTTTGCGATATAATAAAAGTTTCACTTTAAAACTGCAGACTGATTTATTTCAAGAAAAGCAGGACTTCTTTGTCGCCCGCCACAAGTTGCATTTACTAATGCTGTTTTAAATTGTTTTTGTGTAACACAGATGTTTTCTGTTTCTCTAGAGACTTGGATGCAATTTGAAAAGTTGGAGTATTTTTTAATTACTTTAAGGAAAATAAAACGAATATTAGGCCATTTTGAAAACTATAGTCATACTATTTGGCCATTCCAGTCCTCACAAGTGTTTGTTTAGAAGTAGGGTGGCAAATGCAAAGCAACACCTGAACAGCTAGTTGACCTGATTAATGGTTATAGTACCACAATATTTTTTAATAGCCATTTCAATATGTCATACAAATGATAATAGTACTTGTATTCATTGTGGGATATAATGCTCCCTCTTTCACGATTATACATAGGCGCAATAATTATGTAGGTTAAACATTTCATCTAATATCACAAAATGAAATCAAAATAAACTATATTCAAGTTTAATTATTAAAAATAATATTTTATTTTATCATCATAAAACAGTTTAACAAGTTCCATGTAATCATAATAATAAAGGCACAAATGAAAAGTTTGTGTGAGACTGACGCCTCAGATAGGTATGGTAACATACCTGTTTTACTGGTCATCAGACTTCCATCAACTCGGTTTTTAAGTACAATTATTATGATTATAATAGAAAAATATCAAGGTCGATAGCGTATATGATAAAAGTCAGTTAAGAAAAGTGTTCGTGGAACTGTACGTATTAGTTGTGAGAAAAGGTGTGTCATGTGTTACAAAGTGGTGTCACTGTGTGGTGTTGTATTGCATTGTATGTTTTCGTGTGGTACCTAACGTACTTATGTTTTTTGTGGTAGTTAGAATTGCGGAGGAATAGTGTTAATAGATTTAGTTTCTGAGAATGAGAAGGTATAAATGATTGTGAGAAAGTAAATATGGGTATATTGATGAGAACTTATGTGAGAGTGTACAAACAATCTTCTGTTTGGTCATATATTTTATTTAAAGGAATGAGCGGACTCTGGATTTACATTCCAAATTTGATAGGGTATTTAAGGGGAAATCAGCATTTACCTTATTATATAAAAATGTACCCAAATAATAAATGAACCTTTTTGCAAAAGTATAGGTAGTAAACGGTATATCACAGATTTTGTCCTTACGCCGCTTAGTAATGTGATTAAAGGGTAGATAGATAGTTAAACACTTTATTACTCACACATACACAATTAAAGGGTATTTTTTGATATTGACGGAGACTAGCATCGAGTATAAATACCCACTTTGAGTACCGCACGCTGAGCTACTTCAAGTTTTAGAGTTTTAGGAACCCTTCCCCAACAGGATATGCAATAGGTGAATATTGAACGACATAAAGCGTAGTACGGGTTTTGAAGTAAGGTTGGATTTGCGACATGCCTCAAGGTTTTAAAACCAAATATAAGTTTTCGCATTCTGCTGGCACAGAATATATACACTAGGCGAAAAGAAGCGACACTTAAGCATGTGTGCTCGTAAAATCGCTCTCGGCTATGTGTGGGGGTGTCTGGAGGAGCGCGGGGGCGTTGCGCGGCGCGCGGGACGTGGAGAGGGCAGTCACCGACTGCCTCGACCGAAGGCATGGCAGTAGCGAAATAGTAAAATAATAGCGTTGCACTGCATTGTACGCACAGACTGACTACGCTACGCAATCTTATTATTATTTAGATAATAATAAGAATTATAAAACGAATCGAAAAAGGAGAAAATATATAAAAGTTAGCAATTTGTTATAGTACCTACATTAAATGATTAAAAATTGATTATAAAATCAAACCTATCCTTCATTATTTACCCCAGTATCCTTGAATCAGTTTACATTTAATAACTTACTATGCATAAATATTCATTGGCACAAGTCTAAATTCCAAGTTTAACCCTAGCGCATAGACGCTCCTGCTCAAGGTCACTGACGCTGGAACTCACACGTACAGAGAGTGTCACCGCTGTGCTGCTGGTGAGGAGATTATGGTTTTTGAGAGTAAAGTATGTATTGAGGATTACTTCTAGGTATTTAATTGTGTTTGTTGATGAGAGTGCAGAGCACTAGAAAACCGAAACTGACAAATTTAGACAAATGTGGGCTTTAAAAGATAGTGATATTAAAGGTTGACTGTTTGATCTAATGGAGTAAGTGATAAATTGAGTCTTTGATGCATTTAAAGTGAGCATGTGATTAATAAGTCAAGCAGTTGTAGTATTCAGTCCATTTGGAGATCGGACAATGTACGAGTATCTGCATCAAATGTAATAGCTGTGTCATTTGTGTAAGAGTCTTTATGACCTTGCGGTATTTTAAGATTACACAGTTCGTTAATGAAAATAAAGAAAAGTGTTGGACCGAGAATGCTACCCTGGGGCACGCCGTAATTAATAGGGAGTTGATCATTTTCATGATTGTTTAGTTTGAATGTTTAAGATCTGTCTGTAAGATAGCTGCGGAAAAAATCTACGTGGAAACCTCTTACACTATATATTATCTAACTTTTCCTAAAGAATTAGTTTAGAAACAGTAGCAAAAGCCTAAGTAAGGTCAATTAAGATGGTAAGTACTTTTTTTCATACTTTACAGACTTAATAATGTTGTCCAGCAGTTCACGGACAGCGTTGGATGTAGATCTTCTCTTTCTAAAGCCGAATTGTTGTGTTGATAGAATGTTAAAATGTTCAAGATATGCAATAAGTTTATTATTAACAATGGGTTGAATCTTTCTTATATATTTTTTTCTACTACCTGTTAGGACATATTTTAGCAGACAAGATGAACAGACAAAAGAAACTTCTTAGTTTTTTATAAAGTATGGACATTTACAGAAAAATATCTCGTTACCAATACAATTGTAATAAGTATTGACACTGATATTGAGCGAATAAATATTTATAGGAAACAGTAAAATATAATTACTAAGGATGAAAGAGTTCTTATCTGCATTACAGGATTTTTTTTACGGTATCATTTGTATCAATGGTATTGCTTAATGGTAAAGGTCGTCCGAAGGGATTAATTTTGATTGATAAAGCACTCTATGATGCCCTGGAAAATAGTTTATTTGACTTTTTTATGTTAAAAGTATTGAGGGAGGCATTCGACCTTCACGGTAGAAGGTCTTTGGTGCATTCGAATATTCAGTTAATTTGTTTATGACAACCTGTTCTGCACATGCGCCGCAGTCGGTTTTTGACACACTTCATGTTCAACCGTTGAAATGTTTGGTCAGTAATAAGAGAAGTTTATAAGAGCCGTATTTTTAAAGATAATGTTATAAAATAGTGAAGAGAGAATGAAATAAATATATTAAAGAAGTCTCCTAGTCTCATTCGAACAAAAAGAGTGGCAAACAAGCTTATGGCTCGCCTGATGGCAAGCGGCCACCATAGCCTATACACACTTGCGATACAAAAATATTACTCACGCCGTTACCTGCCCTGACCTCATCCCCTACCTCGTGGCGCTCTGGAACTCTCTCTTACTCACCGAAAGAAATACATCACCGCTAAAAAGTAGTGTTATTTCACTGTGGTTCTCTCTAAGGTGGAGGTTGCTACCCCAGACAGGCGCTCCAATTCGAGCGGAAAATCAGCTATACCTTACCTATCTTTGACTACAGTCAGTTGCATCCAGCGAGCTAGCATCGACAAATCTCGCTATTCCCCCATCTCATCCAGGATAGTCTTGACATCAAGAACCCAATTTGTATCTGTTATGAAGCTATCTATATTTTCTTTCATTTAGATATAAGTCATTTAAAATTGCATGTTGGAAAAATACCAATATTGTGGTTGTTGCAGGAAACCTATCACTAGTTACCGCCTCCGCATAGTAACAGGAGACCCGTAACATCAGTGTTTAAGTATAATGTATGTGTATGTAGATACACATTATAGCCCTCTTTATAATGTAGTCACTGCATTGTGGCGGTTTTATTACTTCTTTTACGAGTTTAAACTTTAACCGACGCAAAAACGTAACTATTAAATACGATAATAGTTTAACGATCGTTGTCATAGATGAGCGCTTTTATGGTCGCAATGTTTTGCCGATAATAAAACATGTAGTTATGTAAATATATACACAGCCTAACTAAGTTTACAAAGGCATAGCTATACTCTGCCTAGAATAAAAGAGTATCAAAGGCGCCATAGTAGTAGCACAAAATAGACAGTACAGAAAGTTATCTACCTTCACTTTTCATACCTGCGCCCGGCGGTCGCGCCAGGATTGTCAACTTTGACTTGTCACAAAAAATCGTGGTAGTGGCACTTGTACGTTTAAATTTGTTTGGTTTATTGTTGACAATGAAACAGGAGGAATTGAAATATAAACCAATAGTATCTAGTGTTTGTATTATTGTTGAGAATGAAACAGGAAGAATGGAAATATAAACCAATAATAACTACAGTAATTTAATGTTTTTGGTATATACAAATTTAAAAAAATAACAGTTCACCATTTTTTACTTACTCTATTTTTGCACAACAAATTTTCACAGACGCTGTTTCAAGCGGATGGAACTCGCACTCGCAGAGGTCCCAAGCGGTCCGAGATATCGTGTCCGTGAGCGGTGTCTAGGTAAGTGTGCGTTGCTCGAGCGCACTTTGTATTAAGATTACCTTCTGTACTATCTATTTTGTTGTGGAGGTCAACAGCTTGAAGCTGCTTGCCCGAGCTATTCATATTAACTGCTCGAGCGGTCCACTATGGAGCTTTGCAGCTTCAAGCTGCCTGTGTGTTCCCAAGTAGGTAATGATACGGAAATCAGACAATTCAGTGTGGCTAAAAAAGGTATGGGTTCCAATTAATGTACACTGGCCTGCAAAACTACTAAGTATCACGTTATTTTTTTTTTCGAAACTATAGAAGTTAGAGATATAAAAAAAATATATAGTAAATTTTATCAGCTTTAACTTTAAACTATAGTTAACTATACAATACTGCCATTTTACTCAGAACAGAAGATATCTACATTTTTTGTAGGTACTTAAAAAAATATTGCAATTTTAAAAGTGTGATAGCAGTGTTTAATATAATAAGAAATGCATCATCTTAAAACTAAAGTGCAGATAATAAAGATATCCTAACTAACATTATAAATGCGAAAGTGAGTTTGTTTGTTACGCTTTCACGCCTAAACAACTGAACGGATTTGGATGAAATTTGGTACGCATACAGTTTATGACCTGAATTGAAACATACAATACTTTTTATCCCGGAAAAGCGTTAGGTTCAAAAAACTTCAAATAAATCGGAATCGGGCGGCCGCTAGTAATTAATAAGGCTTAACTCTATAAACTTCGTTCTAAAAACTTGTGTGCCGAAAAAAAAATTGTGTGACGTAACAATAATTAAGCTCTATGACAGAATTAGCGAAAAAAAACTAGCAAAAGAGCACTGTGTTTCGGTTATATGCCTTGATCACACGTATCGAATAAACGGGCGAGACAGTATTTCTAGGCCGGGACAGAGACAGAAATGGAAGTTAAAAATTCATATAAGAGCGCTCTTGGGCGAGTACTCGGCGCTATGTTTATACGTACCGAGTACTTGGCCGAGAGCATTGTCTCGCTCGTTTGTACGGTACCTGTGATCAAACCATTAGTAAGAAGAAATTATAGTCGCTTTAACAAAATAAGTACTACGTGCATATTTAAAAGATGGTAGGGCATTATGGTTTACTTGCAGTTAAATAACTTCAATGATGACAAACACACATTAATGTCATTGCAAATCGCCTTCAATTACACTATCTACTACTTTTTTCAATCTTACTAAACTAATATAGAGGACGACCTCCGTGGCCGAGTGGTTTGTACGCCGGGTTTCATGGTGTCGCCGACTCGAGAGGTCCCGGGTTCGAGTCCCGGTGGGGGCAGATGTTTGTGTGATGAATACGAGCATTTGTACTCCAGTCATGAATGTTTAAAATATTTTTCTATATAAATATCCGTTACCCTAGTATCCCATAACACAAGCCTTACAATGCTTACTTTGGGCCTAGGCTAATTGGTGTGAGTGTTGGATTTTTTATGTTTTTATGTTTATGTTATGTTTAATATTAATTATAACCCCAGCTCAGAGAAAAAAGTAAAAACTAGGATTTGACTAATCTTACTCACACTTATCAGGTAAAATGGTTGAGGGTATCGGGCAAGATGATTCATTGAGATGCGGAACATTATTGTGACAATCATCGCAAGAGTATGTGTCCCTCTCAATATAAGAACAGTATGCTACTTTTTTTGACCTTACGTCAAATAGGTAATCTTTATATTTTTTACGGATTTGCTTCATCAACAACACAAGTACAAACTGATCTGTACATTCACCCAAATATTTAGAGCTAAGTGTGAATTTTTGAATAAACTAAATGAATTATTTAAATTTCTTATGTCCTATCTGCTTTTTTCAATCCAATCACCTCTTTTGGTCTTTCTTTTGGTCTTTTCTTTGGATGACAAAGGTGATGACGTTATATCAAGCAAAAAATAACTCATTAATAACTGTCACTTTGAGTAACTAACGCTTGTTTGATTTTTCGTCACTATCGCAAGTATTGGCCCTCATAGAACTGGGTTTGGATGCAATGGTCGACGCGTCTCCTTTGGCATCCTCTAGTATTAAAGATATACAAGTGTGCAAAATTAATAAATTTTAGAACTGTACCCTTAACACGAACCAATATCGAATTTGAATTGTTAAATTCAATCTCGATATGCGTCAACGGTGAAGAAGTTTTTTATGGACGATTTTAATTCTCGTTACGTCCGTTGTGGCACTGTTCAAATTTCCGTACAAAACATCTTCACATTTGAGGTCGAAATCGAATTCAACTAATCGAATTCGATATAGGTTCGTGCTAAGGGTACTGATTCACTTTTCCCCCTAACTATAGGGGTATAGTTAAAATGTGTAAGTATACCAATGCTAATACCTCGTCTATGATGAACGTCCACATCAATGGGGACTGAATTTCCGGGTACATAATAGTCTTGCTGCATCGCACTGAGACGAGCTTCGTCACTCGGGAAGGCAAACTCGAGCTCAGACCACTGCCTGACCACCCTCAGGTCAGTCCTAGCTCCCAGACCTGGCCAGCAACAAGCCAAGCAGTACGTGAGCAGGAAGAATCGCTCGATACCGTACGACATCTCCATTTTGAACTGATCCAACACAGCCGGGTCTGTCAATTAAAGATAAATATTTTTTTCAATATTTAATTTAATAGTTTTCTCACTTTTTCCTGCCGTGCTATTCCGTAAGAACAAACTCATCGTGGAATTCGCCGGTGTGATTTGATTATTTTCAGTACACAACGCGGATTCCGTTTGTTATAAAAATGAGTGAAAAAGAAAAAAATAAGTGAGTTTGTTCTTACAGAACACTGCTGATTATGTATGTAAGTATAAGTGAAGTCTGGACTTCACTTATACACTTTTCAATTCGCATCTGGATGCGAAGATAGTCTTGTACGCGCTGCTTGCACCAGTCATGACATCTCACGTTGACAGATCCCTACTCTGTATACTTTTTTTTTTGTAGATAGGTCCGACAAATGACTCCACCCCACCTGATGTTAAGTGACGGTAAAGTCCAGACGCGAAGATAGCTGGTACAGCAGTTTTACCTGCCACACAAGCCATCCATTACTATGGCAATGGGTAACTATAGTCTATAGACGTTCGCCATACTAGAGTATCACTCACACGATGCCTAGCTTGACTCCATTCTCTATTCCATGGAGTCCTTGAACCTTACTAATTCCCCAAAAAAATGACAGTTATATTATTAGAGGAAGTTATGTGATGAGGGAATGATCTTTAGTCATTCTGTAATAGGATGATCATTGAAATTCTGAATAATGACTTACAAACAAACGGTTTATAATTTAGTTGTTATCTATATACAACAACAAAAACTCGAAATCATTAACCTTCTTAAAAAGCATTGAAAATTTCCCAAGATATTATTTGTGCCAAACTCAGATAATAGTTGGGCAATTTAACTTTCTGTAGACCAAATATTATTTAAAATAGATAAGCCTTTTCTGGGAATTTCCTTATAAAAAGACGGAGACTTTTTCCTGTAATCTGAAGTTCCTATCACAAAAAGATAAAATTATTAGTAATCTTTTTAACAGAGTGCATCAAATTACCCTAACCCATTTGATATTAAGTAGTTTAAGTAGTATAAATTTAATTTTCTATTTTAAGCATTTAACTGCTAAATATTTAAATACAAAGAATTTTTTTACTAAAAAGTTTTCACTCGTTCCAGATTTCAGGTCCGCTCGGATAGCGAAAGATGCGAGTTCGAATCCCGTCTGTAACTTTGACCGACTGAATATTTTTTTTAGATTTTTATTTCTTTTGGAGTCCCATCGTGAAGATAGCTGAGACCACAGAAAAGTGTGCTAGGATTCCAATCATCCTCAATCTACTGGCTTGAGCATAATACCCTACCTCGTGGAACTATAGAACCTGATTCATTAAAATAAACAAAACACCAATCCAATTTCAAAGTTATTTGCATTGTAATCTACTGTAAGGTGGAAATGGAAGTTACTAATCCAAACGGGCGCTCCAATTCGAGCCGTAAATTAGCTTTGCTCTACCTTTCTTATAACGTCGGTTGAAGAAACAGAAAGCTATTTAATTGATATTTTTTACTGTAAAGGAATTTGTAAAAAGTTCTGTTACCTTAGTTCAAAGGCTAAGTTAAATTATTTTAAGTTCAAAAAGCGGTCAAACAGATCCGTTTTGCTTAACAAATATTTATAAATGAAACCAGTTTCTAGCAATTTAAGATTAGAGACAGAAAACGAAGTCAAGTTTTTGCAAATATTTATATCGACATTCATGTATTTACATAAATATGAAACAAGTTGCATTAATAAATATAAGTTTGATATTTTTTTTATTGATTAAAAAGAATAAATATAATATAATATGCAAGTAATAAAAACATACCTATAAAATTGATAACATTATGTCATTCTGTAATTTATAGGTATGTTTAGATAAATGCATATATGGTATTTTTAACTGTAATTGCGGCAACATTATTTAGTCAAATTAAGGTTTAATCCTGTTTTACACATTCGTCCAACTTTGTAAATTGTTTATTTATTTATTATAGTCAAATAGAGATAGAAGTAAGCTTTAAAAAATATTTTAAAACTGATTTAAAAACTTTAGTGCAATTGGGCCTAAGTGGCAATTTTGTTTATAAAAACCTTACAATTTATGTATTTAAATAAGAAAACCAAAAATGTTAATTTAAACTAATATTGACATAAAAATATAAAATTATTTACCATATTGACTTAGTAGTACTTCACAAATGCGTGACTGCCGATAATCCATTTTGGAATCCTTTCTTTTTTTGTTACAATAATAACACGAAAAGCACAATTTTACAGGAACTCGGAACTTCACGTCCGTCTTTAACCATCACTAATAACTCATTAGCATTCCACTTTTAAGTTTAACAGAATATGACCGTTAGTCCTACACGTTTGACTCAAATGCGAACTGTGTTCGTACAATAACCCAAAATTCCCGTCGATGTTCTTTATATTAATGATAACATATGGAAAGACGTTCGAATATTTAGGGCACACACGTTTATGGTTACATTTTCAACTTAATATCGGATAAAGAATCTGTTGAGAAAAGAATGTTGACAAACGATAAATACTCGAGTCAAAAAATTTGCACAGCAGCGGTGGCGCCTGGAGTTAATAGCGGCCTGGATACCAAGTAAATTGGTTGTTTAAAGCGCGTAGGACACCATAATACTAGTAACAATCAAACATAAGTTAATAAGTAATTTTAATGTAACGTTGACATCAAATTCGATATTAAAAGATTTTTGATTTAAGCTTTTCCTAAACCGTTATTTGCAATCGGTACATGTCCGTTATTTTTTTCGACAACGTTTGGTGTAAGTTTTTAAATATGAAACACGTCTCCACTATAAGGTTTTTGTTGGATACTGACCGATGGCCCGCCCACCTCTTTCGCAACGGTATCCACGCACTGTTGCTGGTGTTCAAAAACATTCAATGGTTTCACTCCAGCATAATTTATATTGACATTATTTAGCCATTGTCAGCAATGATTGTCAGTTACTTATGCCGCGCCGATTGATACAATTCAACATTCTGCGGTATTGTGAGGAAAGAGTTTTATGGTATTGTCTACAAAGGTCGTTTGAAAGAAGCAGTCTTGAAATGAAATCATAATAGCTATAATTTAATCAGTCCGGAAACAATGCTTGACAGAATAAATACAAATGTAATTTATCAATAAGAATTTTTCTTACCCTTGCATACTCGATAAGTATTTAATGTATTTATTTCAATTATTAACAATACTTAGTCATCATCATCATCAGCCTATTAATGTCCCCAATACTTTGTATTTGAGGGAAATTCTGCCTAACAGTGAACTAATTCAGAATTTATGACAAAAATTGTCGCTTATCATCGGACACCACAGCTACTTTCTTAAACAGGCTAATGTGACTTGTTTAATACAAGTCACATTATCCTGTTTGTTGATTATAAATATTATAACATTTTTCGTTTTCCATTAGTTTTTTGACCACAAGTATTTACGAGTATTACTTATGTTTGGTTTAACGTTTCGTGACCGTATCGTGGACGATAAGGTAGTTCCAGGATAGATGCTTCATAAAGACAATGCAGCTAGGTAAATGAGAGAATAATTAACTAGAAATAAAAAGTTAGTCATATTCTTTAAGGCATTCGACATAAACGAAGCATAGCGAATGCACTATTTTTATTTATTGGCCAATAAAAATAGGTACAAAAGGAGAACTTAATACTAAATATTTTCTGCCCCTATTACACTTTTTCAACAGGTAAAACACCGTGAATCTGCTCAGATGCATAGTGATGATTCTATTCGAAAAATAAATACTGTAAGTATTAAGTAACAAAAAACTTTGTAGATGAGCCAACGATGACAACGGAACCTTGAACATATTTTTGTAGTTACAGCTTTCATTACTTTTTTGCTATTGAAACTTGTCGGTTTACTTAACGTTTTAAAGCTTCAAATTTTTATTTGTTGTCAAAAGAATGTCTGAAGAACGTTAACTTTTGTATGTTCTATATCGCTATTATACATAATATCTATCAGATAATAAAGTTATCCATCTGTTATTAATAAACTTCAGGTTCATTAAAAGTAGAAAAAACATTTTTAAATAACATGTGAAATTTCGAAAATTTATATTTATCGATCAATCGGAAACGTATTGGATTTTAATTTTAAAAATCAAACCAAATCAAAAATCATTTATAGTAAACAAATTCAATTTATTCGCTTCTGAATGTTGTAGAAAAACAAAACTAGATAATCGTACGTAATCTCGATTAATACATATTTTCAACATTTTTAAGTATTTTCAACGTCTAGATATATAAGTAAGTAAAATAATAAGTATAACCCCTATATCCCTAGCAGGAACCAATATCAAATTCGAATAGTTTGCGAGTCCGGAATGTCATTGTCAAAGTATTTAAACTTGAACAGCAGCGCCATAACGGACGGATGGATTTTGGTTCGTGCTAGGGGTACTATACCCATAGCACGAACCAATATCGATTTGACAATGACATCTCGTAATCGCAAACTATTCCTATTCGATTCTCCATTTGGTTTTTCACGGCCGGAAAAAAAACCGGCCGATTTTCCTCTTATTACTGGAGTTCTACTGTACATCCAGGCTTCATTTATGTCTTAAATTAATTCTAAATAGTTTTTCTACAAACATATATATATATTAGATGTGTAAATTAAAAGCATTACTAATTTAATAAGATAAAACGAAAATTATTTTCTCAATTCGTGGCGGAAATCTGACACTTATACAGACGAGGGGCTAAGTACCTATTATGCCATTAACTTTTTATTAATACATCGCCAACTCATTTAAGCATCTATCCTGAACTTACCACACCTACTGGAAACCAAATGTCAAACCAACGTTAATGAATATGTCAACAAAGTTACACTTATCGGTATTGTTAGTTTAATAAAAAAAACATTGATCACTAAAACACAAATATTTAGTTAGGTATGTATATATACATCGAGTATCAAAGTGCTAACACAAAATATGACAAATTCAAAGCTTAGCAGCTCTAAACTAATGGAAATAATATTGCGAGTTTTCTTTTATCGAGTCAATGTGAGGAAAATTTTATTTGTAAGGGAAAATAATTGTCGTGATAATTGTTACTGTTCTTAGTTTCATTGTTTCGTAAAGGCTTATCTACGCAGTTTCAGTTATCTTTTAGCCATCACCGAGAAATAATAATTTTGTTACCTTGATGGGTTATACTTCATAAACAACAGGAAACGCGATTTCAATAATATAACCAAATAGAGTATTTAGAAACTTTATTATTTTATATTGACATCATTTTATTAAGATTTATAAATCTACTTCTTGAAATGAAGTTCATAATTCACCGCCTAAATATTAATTTATGCGGTAATGAATATTGAAAATTTAAATAAAAGTATCCAGTCTATTTTCACAGTTAAAATTTTCAGTAAATTGAATTTCGGAAATAAATTGAGTTTTAAATTTACTACGAACAATATACAAAATACTTAAATACCCGATCGACTATCTAAAATAAATATTCATTTGCTCCGCCTTATTTTGATATGCGGTCGGCTTATCATTAATCATGGTTTGTATACGTAATAGAAACACCATAGTGTATATTGGTATTACTACCGTACCTACTTGAAAAGGAAAAGTCAGTAAGGGAGGTTTTCTTTTCATCGGTCAATCTAGTACTTTATTAATTTCAACTTTATGCTTTTGATACCGATTCTTTGGTACTTGGAGTACTACCTGATGTGAATTTCTTGAAAAACAGACAGTTTTTTGGTAACTAAGAAGCTCCGGTCTCTACAATTACGCCGCGATGTGGCATCATTAAGCGCATTCTACCGATTATACCACGGCGAGTGTTCTGAAGAATTATTCTCCCTCATGCCCCCATCACCTTTTCTTCAAAGGACCACGCGCGCTGGCCTACGTCGCCACCGACTTACTGTGGCCGCTGTTCCTACACGAACAAAGAAATTTGGTGACTCATTTCTTTGTCGTACTATTCGTAAGTGGAATTCTTTACCCGCGCACGTGTTCCCTCCTTCCTGAGGTGTGAAGAAGCATTTTTGCAGGCCGGCAAGGTGAGGATGGTTGGTGTAGCAGTTTATAACTGCGCGTTTGGACTTTATCACCACTTAAAATCAGGTGGGGTAGAGTCTTTTGCCTACCTCACTATAAAAAAAAAATCTTAGGAAATAAACTTTTGGATTTCTATCTAATTGTACTTTTCTCCTCCGCCCATACATCTCAGTCCCCGTTGCTGTCATTCTTGTGCTGTTCATATACACCCGCGCATTTGCGCATATAAAGTAGTGATGTGCCGAATATCCGTATTCGTATCCGCGGATATCCGAGGAAGAAGGAAGATCCGTATCTGTGTCCGTGTCCGTTACTTTATGGGGGATCTTTTACGGATCTATTTACCTTATTAATTTTAAATTTATAGATAAGATTCTTTAAGGTGAAGGGTAAGGCGCACTAGCGACGCCAATTGCCGAGATTCTGACGGTCCACAATTATGAAATAGATCTGGTTAGTAGCTAACAATTTAAAGCAATTGGCGTCGCTAGTGCGCCTTACTCTTTGCCTTAAATTCAATACTGATATTCTTTTATTTCTTAAAATCAAATATTTGGCTCCTTTATGTTGCAAACTTTGCCGTAGTTAGTTATCATACCAATAGTATATAACTACAAGGTACTAAATCAACTAGCTTTTTAATGAGATCAATATTATAAAAAGTTATAAGATCACTTTTTATTAAGAAAACAAAAGTTAGATCTTCGTAATATTTTAAATTCGAATTAAATATTTTTTTAATCAAGTAACTTTGTCCCCCAAAAGTCTGTTACGATGAGGATCATAAACAATTCCTGATGCACTAAAAAATTGCTCACTTGGAATACTTGTTGCAGGTGATGATAAATATGTGCGAGCAATGTGACTATGACCTCCAAACTTTTTACTGTTAATTTGCCAATACTTTAGTTGGTCTTGATCTCTTGGTAATCTTTTTTCTGACATATATTCTTATCTTAACTTAAGATCCGTATCCGTATCCGTATCTGCGGATCTTGACACCAAATATCTGTATTCAGATCCGTATCCGCGGATCTACATTTTTGACGATCCGGCACATCACTAATATAAAGTTACACCACAACGCTGGTTGATTTCAAAAATCAGATTGCAAATAACATCGATCTTCATAGTTTACTATATTTGTATTTTAGGCATTTAACTGCCAATGTTTGAATCTGAAGAAAAATTTCCTAGGAAAAAATCCACGTGGTCCGGGCAGCAGACACGCGGATACAATTGCTGTATTTCTTCTTTCAAATGTTTAATACTTGTAAAGGTATTTCGTTTGGCATTGTGGGTTCACTGTGGGGTCCTATACAATGTGTAGAGATTGCTTTGCAGCAAATACTAGAATAAATTCCACACGGTCATTAAGGTTGCGGTAGCATAACTGGCCAGTGCATCGAGCTTCATATTCGAATTGTGGTTCGAGTAAATTTCAAAATAAGGGAATGCTCGAAAGCACCTTAATTCTGCAGTCTCACCACCTTTGGTGATATGACGCAAGACTTTATACTGGGCCAAAACTTTTATTCAATCAATTCGTGTGGAGGATGCGACAAATATGGCGAAGCAAAGCGAAATATGGCAAATGTCAAGAAAGTGCGATGACTGTTATCCAAAAACTAAACAAAGCTACCCAGCTTTGTTTATTTGTTACCCAACAAATGTATGAATCGCTATTATGTGTGTTCCTTTTCTAAGAATATATGCTTCAATAAGGGTGTTCTAGGTACTCTTTTAAATGCTAATCAAATCATAGTCTAGTATCGTATTCTACGGTATTAAAATATATTCAAGTTAGAGTAGGATGGACGACGATGACAACAACGATATATTCTGTTACTTAAAAAATATGGTTTAGTCAATTTTCGGAGTACGATCGAACCAACTGAAACGTCACCCATTTGCCCGATAATACGCTTAAAAAATGTCAAAGCAGACAAGTTTTACTTTGTAGAAAATGCATAATTGCACTTAGCATCTTCTAGTTAAACAAAAACTGTGTTAATATGGATCAAAGATATTTGAAATTTGACCTTTATATTCAATGCATTAAATCATGTTATAGATACAATTGGAATAGTAACTTGAATTTCGAAATCACTTTTTAAATCGTTATTCCAGGGGCAATACTCCAAATAATTTAATATTAAAATTATGGCACAGGAAGCCAGTAAAA